ACTCCATTAGCCCACTGTCGAAAATCCGCTTCTCCTAGCAAACAAATTCAATGAATCTTATGCAAATGTAGGTACAATGACAGCTTTGAAAGCCACGAAGCTTGCGGAGGAACACAATTTTAACATTCATGACACAGAGGGATTTGATCCGTGCGAATCTGATCGCAACTCCTGTCCAAACAATACCCCGTTATTTGCATTTCAACCCATAACCACAGGCGATGTGCATAAGATTATTAAGAGTCTACCTTCAAACAAAGCTCCCGGTTGTGATAAAGTTAACGCCAAAATCCTGAAAGACAGCTCACCAGTTATCGCTCCCATTATAACAAGTCTTATCAACAATTCCTTTACTTTGAGTACTTTTCCACTTCCATTGAAGAAAGCAGAAATCGTTCCAATTCTTAAGTCCGGGGACAGTGAAGAGCCTGCGAACACGAGGCCAATATCACTACTGCCTATTTTATCTAAAGTATGCGAAAGAGCGGCTCACTCGCAGTTTACCAATTTCCTCGATTCAAACAATGTCATACATCACCTGCAAAGTGGAAATAGAAAACTTCACTCAACCGAGTCTGCACTACTTCACTTCACCGGTGAATTGCTTAATAACATGGATCAGAAGAAGATATCTGTTGTTGTTCTTTTGGACATGTCCAAAGCTTTTGATAGCATTCGACACGATTTAATGTTACGTAAACTTCGCAATTCTGGTGTATCTGAGTCTGCGTGTGCCTGGTTTGAAAGCTATTTATCGCAACGTCAACAAGTCGTTAAATTTCAGAATACTGTATCTGATCCCTTACCCCTTACGGTTGGGGTACCGGAGGGGTCCATCATGGGTCCGGTGTTGTTTACATTGTATGTAAACGACCTCTTTCGAGTTCCAAAACATTGCGAACCACTCGGCTATGTGGATGACACCAAGCTCTTCCTTGGGTTCCCCGCCAGCGAACTTGACACTTTCTTTATCTCTGCAGTAAACGAAGATCTTAAAGAAATATCGATTTGGTGCTGTAGAAATTCGCTGCTCATTAACCCAGACAAAACAAAGCTTCTTTATGTGGGCGTCCCACAACTCATGAGGACATTACCTACCCCCTTACCAAGTGCGACAATGCTGGGAACTCAAATCAAGCCTGTAACAGTTGCAAAGGACCTGGGAGTGCATATAGGCTGTCATCTTAACTTTAACGAACATATCACTAAAACTGCCTCTGACTGTATGTTTAAACTAACGAGAGTTAATGGGATAAAGCACCTCTTAGGTAAAAAAAAACATTGAACTATCTTATAAATGCTTTCGTTTTCAGCAAATTATTTTATTGTTCGACGGTATGGAGTAGTACGAGCAAGAAGAACGTTAGAAAACTTCAGCTAGTTCAGAACTATGCCTGCAGAATCGTAGCTGGTTTAAGAAAATACGATCATGTTTCAGAAGCCCTGAAGTCCCTTAAGTGGCTTAACGTAAGGGATAAACTGCTTTTTAACGACCTAGTGATGGTGTACAAATGCTTAAAGAACCCAACACCTGGTTACCTCCACAGACGCTTCCAATTTCGCGCAAAAACTCGGCAAAGAGTCACAAGACAGAACAAAGACCTTACGTTGCCTCGGTATAGGTTCTCTGCTAGCAGAGGTCTCTCACGACGAGACCTCTGCTAGCAGGGAACGGTATAGGCTGGCCACTGGCCAAAAGACGTTCAGCTATCGTGGGGCAAAACTTTATAAAAGCATAGCTAAAGATATAAGAGACACTGGAAATTTTAACGCTTTTAAAAAGAGAATTTTTAAGTATATTTTTAATTCATGATAGTTTTTTATTATTGAAATGTAAATAGCCTTTAAAATTAACGTTCATTTTTATTTATAGAAATTCGCTTTTTTATCATTGAAATGTAAATAGTTTTCTAGTTTCATTTCATTTTATTTTGATTCGTGTATGTATGGCGGAAGAGCCCCCAATGGGGAGCTATGCAATAAAGTATGTTTGTATGTATGTATGTATGTATGTATGTATGTCAGTATGTATGTATGTAATGAATGAATGGATGGATGCTCGCACACGAAAAATGAGTTTGACAAGACAGAACAAAATTGTATAGTCCAGAAGTTTGGGCTTCGTGGATTTCAAAGGCTTAACGCGATTCAGGAAGAGCCTCGCTTTCAACTCCCCAGAGAAGAAGGGAAAAGGAGGCTCTGTTCGCAGGCTGAGATAGACTGGGGTCAGGGCTGATGAGGTGATATTCGGTAAAGAAATATCAATAACTAAGCGTCAAATATTTTTTAAAAAAACACAAATTCGGGTTTATGACCCTTCTTCAGTGTGAGAAAAACCGTTGTACAGTACTTTGTAATACCGTGGACAGAAATGATCGAAGCGCAGTCTTATTATCTTCCAAAAGCAAGAACAAATTATGGTATATTCAATATCAGATTTCAAGGTCCATCAGTATGGAATTCCATTGATGAAGATATCAAATTATCTTTATTGTCTTTGTTTAAAAAGAAAATGAAACAGCACTTCATCAAAGATTACTAGACATCTGTACATTGTCTGGGTAACTTTAAAATGGAAATAATACTGTTTTGCAATGTATGAATTTTAGTCTCTTTATATACTGGTCGTTTACTTAACTATTTGTGTGTGTTTCTCTGTTTTCTTTGTTCTTGTGTCCCTGACCTAAACATTTAAACATCTTTTCTTTTAACTGGCTGCCTGGCATTTTTAACTCTTAGGTTATTTCGGGCAGCCAGCGCCCCTATCATTGTCTCTACTGTTGTTATAAATTTTTATTTCTTGTATATTATGGGGTGAAATAAAGTGTTGTTGTTGTTGTTGCACGCAAGATGTATGTAATGTCCCAATTCAAATAAAACTGAAAATGATATTCAGTCCTTTCGGCTGAATGGTGAAAGGTATGAAAGGGAGAGAAAGAATAGGTTCCAGCCTTGCAGACCAGCTAGGCCCATCTGCGCTTGTCGTGTATACCTCCAGCTTTAAAGTCAGTTAGTCTAAGGTGTGATCATTCCGATAAATCGCCTTTGCTGGAATTTTCGAAACCTAATCTGTTTGTGTTTATTATTACTATTATTTTACAATATTAAAAAAATTAAATGCAACAAGTACCGCTTCCTTTTGCTGTAAGCTGAAAGTATTCCTCTTATCATAAATATTCTTTTTTTGTTTTTGTCATTTCGCGTTTTTTAGCCTAACTAGACTAACTATGATTAGTACGACTATCTAATATATTTTAAGATTTACTGTAGCTCTGCCATTGAATTTTCCATGTGTCTACGATAATATTTTGTTCTTATTATTTAACTGAGGGAGCCCATTCCTTATATGCTCGGTGGCCTCTCTTAGGCTTCCTGGCCATGAGAGTTTAAATAATTAGATTTCCTTGCTTTTGTACAACTTATGGCAAAACAATAAACTGAAACTGAAACTGAAAGATTTTGATTTTGAGAGTATTGTCTTAACAGGTACGATAAATTTGGCTAACAAAGATTTTCGGGGATTACTCACGGTTTTGAACTCGGAGTTGTCTCACACGCCCGTCGTCTCGCTCTGTGTTTTCAGCCTCGTTCAGACCTTTTGTTTGACTGTTCGCGCGTACTTGAATACGCAAAAATACCGACTGTTTTGCAGTCTAAGGCCTTGTGTAATACATAATCTCTTTAACAAATCGACAATAATTTTCCATGGTCTCAGTCAAGTCTAATATCACTAATATGTAACTTAAGTCCGTTTTAGTCTGACCTCTACCTTAAAGAAAAACAGAATTTACAAGGTCATCTGGTGGAATGCATTTCTGGCGAAGAAGACCAGTGATCAAACGGACGTGGAACGAAGTCACGTACACAGTAGCTGGCATCATGTTGAATTCCACTACGGCATAGGCCGATTTGGCGGATTCAAGTTCCCGCGTTGCCACGTCTTTCGTCAGGAAATCTCCTAAGTATTTCTTTTTTGGAGAAACTCGTCGGACGGACTCCACATATTTCTTTTTTGAGTGCATGCCAATGCTTTTGGGGGTTGTAAGCGTCGACAGACTCAAAATGGGAAACGAAGACTCATACCGTCGACGGTCGCCTTCACTACAAATGGTTTCGAAATCAAAACCACAGCGCTTTTGAACTTTGAAAGTCTAAGGTAGAATATTAATTAATTAGTAAGAATTTAACTCGTTTACATCGCATGATCGCTCCCTGACCCTCAAAAACAAAAAAAAATCGTACAACTGGAAACGAGTTTTTGCGGCGCTTTGTCACACACGTCACGTCATGTCTCAAGAGGTGAACTCCGGCACTCGAGTATTTTAAAATATTTCCACATGAAATATGGGTCGCTCCTTCAAAATTTTATCAAAGTGACAAAGAAAATATAAAATACTTTAACGTAATGTCTTTTAAGCCTGGCGTGCCCCGTCCAAATCACCGGCAGTCCGATCTGGATTTGTTTATCGGTTTTACAGACCAACAGTATGTAAATTACTTTATACGGGTAGATGAAGCGACCTTTTATTTTTAAGAAGATACATTTCGAATGATCAAAATCTTTTTCATTTTAAACAGAAAGGTCACGCCGCAAAAAGACGGCTGCGTAGGATGCTGGCTCCTCGCCTTGCCTCGCGCTCAAACGACGCGTCTCTCGCGGATACTTGGCATCTGGTTTACTTATAATGTTCCGGTCTTAATTTTAAAATTTTATAACACCAAGCAAACACCTTTCTATCGCGTACCACGTACCAGGGCATCAATTTACGGCGCCTGCTGAGATTTTTTTTCTTGAGCAAAGCCCCTCATGACTCTTTTCGGACAGAAAGGATGTCAAAATGTTCAGCAGTAAAGTGGAACCACGCGCTGCAGGCTAGTGTTTTCAGGGCAAAGTTTGAAACATTTTAACGTCATTTCTATGGTCGATAAGAGTACAGACCATGGAAAATTGTTGTAGATTTTTTTTTTACAATAACATTGACAGTTTGTTACTCCATTTCCGTTGAAGTTTCTCGCAAAATCCGGGAAAATCGTGTTCGTAAGAAAGAGGGGAACATAGCTCTCGGGCAATCAGCGCGCGAGAAATCGCTCAGTTATTGTAAAACTTTTCTTCCTCATCCACTACTCTGTGAAAGTAGCAAGGTGGTCCCACGATTTCTGTATTGGGGTTGTCAAAGTAAGGAATGCGTGACGGGTCACGTTTTGGTCGCGTATGTCTATACTGAAGCCTCCCTGCTCGTATCTAAACTGCGCGTGCTTTACAGCAGTTCCGTCAAAACTAAACCATGGTAGCCGTTGCTGTGCATTTAAAATGGCACCAAACCTTTCTGTTTCTCTTCCAAACTGTCTTATTCGTGGCCGACACGACCACTGATGTACTCACAAGCCTCAAGTACCAAGAACAAGGACACAAATATTGGTTTGGAGTAAGCTTAGGGCTGACAGTCATTAGTATGGTTGTCCTCTCCATTTGGTCCATAATGGTGAGCACAAGTCGATTACTCTCAAAGGAAGAGGACTCAGTAGAAGTGGATAACCCAGACGTCATATTCCGCAATAATCGTCTGAATTTCCTCTTAAGTCTTTTATGCCTAGGACCCCCTCTCCACAGCTTTCAAATGTTCCTTGTCTGTGCCTCTCGTTTCAAAGAACTGTGGAAGTCCAACACCGGTCTGCTCATCGAAAAGGAACGCCTGTACTACCTCTATGTCCACACGCTGAATTTGAAAATGGCTGAAGGCTTGCTGGAAGCCGCCCCACAGCTTATAGTACAGGTCTATGTTATGCTGGAAGAAAGGAAAGATGTCAGTCTGATCCAGAAGATATCGGCGCCGCTCTGTTTGCTTTCGCTTACGTGGATGATCACATCTATGGAGGCGTTTCGTGAGTTTAAACACTACAACCTCAAACTCGTTCACAATCTCATAATCTTTCTTAGCAACTTAGGAATCATCGCAGCGCGAGCACTGGCGATTGTATGTTTCACGATTGCCTTTCGATGGTGGATCCTTCTCTTGTTTGGTGTGCATTTTTTTATCATCAACTTCACCGGATTCGTATTGTGGCGATCCAACCGAAAACAGGACATGCTGGTGTTTATTTTCGCCTATTCGCCGCTGTATCTCTTTGTTTACAGTTCATATTATTTGAAAAAGCTCAGGGGAGATGCACCTTTTGCTCGAGCTCGACTAGTGGTTGTAACAGTCTCATGGCATGTACTATTTACTTTGGAAAACATCGGTATGATCTTAGCGTATTATTTTAGGCGTCATGATTCTGATGATAAGCTACAGTGGTTTCTGATCTTTGCTGTTGTTATCGTTAGCGTTGGAAATCTTGGAGGGATACTGTTAAAATCATTATCGTGGTATTGCTGCTTTCAAAAGGATGAGGACGAGTATTTAAATATACAAAGGGCTAGCACTCTTATGGTAACAACCGGCCATACTATGAACCGCGTATGAAGCTGTTCGCGTGACATACAAGGCCAGGCGGGGCAGACACCTTAGTGCGCAGAGATATAGCTTCTTCGTTTAGTTTGAACATAGAGCAGTTAATGATAATGAAAGTGCCGCTGGAAAATTGACAGAAAAAGGAAGAAAGAAAGCAAGGAAGTCGCCGCCTCTAGCTAGCTCTAAAGGAAGTTGTTGTTTCGTGAATAGTCACTTGACAATCAAATGAACGACCAGTCCTCCCCCGTTGGGTCAGTAATGTTTAATTTTTAGTATAAAACTTTGATGTGCAAGTCAGTATAGTCAGGCTGGTTGTTCTGGCTGATTTTATAAATACACATCCGTAGAACCCGGTATTATTGATCAGTCATATTGACTAAATTTTTTTACAGTCAAGCCAGGTCAAACGTACCCCCAAGCTCCCTTCACACGCGAGGCAGTTACGAAATTTCTGCCGACTCAGTTTCCCTGAATTTGATGTAAATGTCTTCTAAGAAATATAATCCATTCAAAGATTTTCAATCTGACCTAATACAGAGAAGTTCTGGTTAGATATTCACTGCTCATTACTCATGCAGAAATGCCGATTTGAACTTGATAAAAGATACAGGAACCAGTATTAAACGGATTCACTTTCATTAATAGAATCTTGGGGGTACGCTTGACCTGCTTGTAATTGCTTGATTGTAATTAGCTTTAGGCGAATTTTTTCGCCGACGTCAATTCACTTCCAATACGTGTTTCAGCCGATATATTTTGTAACGTTTTGTTAGTTTCACAAGAGTATGTATATTAGGTTGCATAATACTGCTAAAGTATTTATGGAGTACTTGTAAGGTGTCTCAAGGGGCTAGTACTCTATTTAAGGTTTGTTAAGCTATGCAAGAGCCATTCGAGGGCATCTCTGTCAACCCTAGTTTTTTAATTTTAATCTACTGTTGTAATTTTCTCTGAGTTTGTAAAACTGTAATGTTGTTTTTTGGAGCGCTTTACGCTCGCTTCATCAATAAACGAGAGGCCTGCTCCTATTTTCAATGTTCTAAGATAACCAGGGGGCAAAAACAATTTAAGAGTGAAGAATAAAAATCAAATTTATATGCTAATAAATAGATAAGCTTAGAAAGCCGGAAACTGGTTTACTTAACACTTAAATCTACAAGTAGCCGTTCTTAACGGAACATAAAACTGTGCTCCCGGGACCCTACCAAAAGTGTCTGTAACCCCAATAGCGATTTCTTTTCTTTTTCATTCAAACGTCCGTTTTTTTGCTGGACAGCTGTTGTCTGTAATAGCGAGGTGTAGACAAACAAGAGCCATAATGGCTCTTGACACAAAGCAAGAGTTGACTGTAACGGGTGCGCAAGCCGTAGTGAGTCCATTCAGCAGCGCTGCTTAACCCTTTAAACCCTACGATCAAAATTGAAATTGTTATTTGTTGCCCCTTTTCATCTCCTGCAGGAGTAGTGGGGGGGAAGTTGATAAATATCAAGCAAATTCATCTTGTGTGATCAAGTCCGTAATTCTCATGACCCCTCTGTTTTACAAAGCATTGATATTTGCAAGGAGAAATTTTATGCTGATCACTCTCAGGGCTTAAAGGGTTAATTCAGACCTCAAAACAACCTTTTTTTTTCGCTCGGGAACAATACACCTCCACCACAAACAAAGCAGTTGCATTTTCAAGTTGCATTTTTCAAAGGCTGAACAGACTTCCTTTAGACCCCATACAAGTAAGCTCATTCAAGGGCAGCGTATCGAACAAGCCTGAACACATAACTAAACTATAATTTGTATTGTTCTTACATTCAACATCTTATCATGCATGGCTACAATTTTACAGGACTGGGAAAAGTTTGATGTCTTGTATAGGGGTTCGCTTATGGAAGGCGGTCGCACATGGATGGTCGACTGTATTTCGATAACTAATCATTTCACTAAGAGGTTGTTTACCTACCGCGCGGTACAATATTTCGCAGCGCAAAATGAGGAAAAATACCAAGAAATGTAGTTCCCGTAGAATTAGCAACTTTGTCCACAAGGTGCAACATAACAAATTAGAACTTTAGGATCTTGTAGTAAAAAAAGTCCACTTTTTCCTTCCTTGAATACAGCATTGCTTTATTAGCATATTGTCCGACATATGGCACTCACGTTTAAACTAAACCAAATAGTTAAATTTTAAAGATTCATGGCATGCATCGCTAAATCATGAAGTTAAATGTACAGTGATGCATCTGGGCCAAGATTTTCGAAGCCTGATTAGCTTTAATCGGGGGGTTGATACTCTCCTACATGATCTACACAGGCATGTGTCGCCCCGAAGGGTGTGGTTTCCCTGAACCCTTTTGGTCAGAAATAAGGTGTATTTTACGCCCATTATGGTCTTAAGGTCTCGGTAAAGGAAAACGAGGTGCCCACAGAAAAGAATTCTAGTCGCGCGAGTATTTTCGCTACAAAGGCAAGTTATATATCAAATTAAAGCTAAAAGACTGAATTACCTTATAAAAGATTTTATTTTATCGAATTTCAAAAGGCGCTTAAGTTTTTTGCTCTCGAACTCAGAGGTATCGAGTTTAATCCTGAAGCTCCAGCCCTTTCGCGTTGTTAAATATTCACTTCCTTTTTATTGCATCTGATTGACAGATAAAAGACCTAACAAAGGGTCTGAGGAAATTTGCGTATGTCTCGTATTAGCGGAATTATTGCATTTCAAACTAAAAAGTCGAATCTCGAGCGCGATTTACGCAAAGAAACTGACATAAAATGAGTTACAAAGAGAAATCGGAAAATTCCTCACACCCTTTTTGAGTCTATATCATTATCCGTCATATCTGAAAGTTTCAAAGCGATAGCTTAAAACCTGTCCCGAGTGGAGGTCGGAGAATTTTGATTTTTGCGTCTAAAATAGAGTGAGGGAAAATCAGCTCTAAAGATTTAGCGCGAGGTCCAGGCTTGGCTTGTTAGCTCAGAAAAGGCTCATTTTAGAAGGGTTAAAAAGCACTTTCTGGTTTTCTTTTACTGCCAAAATAAAATTTAGGACCCACTCATGCCAAAAATCCAAAAAAAACAAAATCGAGCAATGTACTAAAATTTTCATTTACCGAGACCTTAAATCGCGTATTGTTTTCGAGGAAAGAGAGAGGGCGTATAAACGTATCTTTTCAACTCCAAACGAGTAAGAACGTTCAATAAAAATACCATAAAATAATAAAAAAAGGTTCAACAGTATGTTGACCTCACTTGGTCAAGGTAATGCATGGGTTCGCGAGCTGAGTACTACTTTCAGAAGTCAGGTTGGATAATGGGTGCGGAAAACGATGTGTTCGTGGTCTGAAATAGGATCTGGTTTTGAAGAACTGAGCGGCATACTCCCACCGAGAATTCCTACGCGTACCCCCTGAAAAGGGGTGGGGGGGAGGTTAATCTTGTTTTATCTGTAAGCAAAGCACATCAGTTGTCGTGGTGACTGAAAACTGGATTTGCTAATCGCCCTTTGAACACCTCGGCCCTTTATCTAAGTTCGGCTTGCCATCGTCAGTAAAACGAGCCAAGTCACAGTTAAAATTATCGATTTTGGACCCGATTAACGCTGCTTTTTAAATGCTTGTCAGACTGCTCAATTATGATACAGCCTGACTCGGATGATGTTTATCAAATTAGAAACTGTAGGATGTAGTTAAATTTGAGTAAGTGTGAAATAACTGTTTTATTACTCGACGTAAGAATTTCTTTAAGACATTCCTTAGGCAATTATTAACGGAAGTTCGGTTCTCAGTGGAAAAAAATCACTGAGGACTGTATAATTTAGAATCTTCAAAATTGCAAGCATCCTGTTCTCAAAATCAAAAATCTAGAAACCAGGGCTCGTACCCTTTTTTGAACAAAAAATTCAAGGACTTTCCAAGTACTTTCAAGGACACATTTCCCATTTTCAAGGACTCCATTCAGTGAAAAACGAGCCTAAATGAGTCCATGTCTTTTTTAGTCCTTCCATAACATGAGTAATTTTATCCCGAAAGTGTTTCAGTGTTTGCTCCTTTTCCTTTGGAGTTCTACTTAAACTATAAAACTAGCATTGGAATTCAACGACTTTCCAGCACTGGCTGCAATTACAATTATTGAAATTCAAGGACTTTCAAGGTGCGTGCGAACCTTGTGATACGCCTGTCCCAGCAAAACCAAAACCCTTCTCAGGAAAGTAGATAGTTTGCGAGCCTTTTTTTGGTAGTCAAAATGCAGTTAAAGAGCATGCATATGAGATTATACTGCATTCCTATCTAGTGTTTAGATGATCTAGGAGATCTCAACATTAAGCCAATTCACTAATGATGGAACAATCCTATTCAATCGCATATACGTTTGTTCACATCCTATACGAGTTCCTCGGGTAGTTGCTCCACAAGGGTGCTTAACTTTAACCTAGAGTAACACCACATAAATGCAGATATGTTAACCCAAAATAATAGTCCGTCTGAAACAGACTATTGAACTACCACTACGTTGGCCTTACTGAATCAAGTCGCTCTTCGAACCACCGTTAAGCTTTAGTGCTAACCAAGGAATTGACTCAGCTACACCTTAGGATATGTACACTCTAGTTACTGCTTATTTACTCACCAACAACTTTATATGAACGATTCAATTAGTGCTTAAAAGACTGAACAAAGTGTGTGCTAACGTTTTAAATAATGGTCGCATCTACCCTCTTAACATATAAGTTAAGCTTATTGGCACTTTATGATCAATGTTATACATTTTCGTGAAACGCTTCAAAATCCTCAGGCATCTGTAGAATTCCATGGATCGTACCTGTCCTTCATAAAAGGACTCTCCTCAAAACTGAGATTGACCATACCTCTCTCATCATCAGGATCGTACCTCTCGGCCGCCGCGTACATATCAAGACGGAGCTGTTCCATCTGCTGCTCTTCCTTGAATTCGGCGTCCGCCACGGCATAGGCAGCTTCTGTGTTTATCCCCCATCGCCGCTCCACGATATGATCAAGCAGCCTTTCTTCAGCCCACTCCTCGCAGTAAATGCCGCTTAAGGATGACTCCAGTCTGGTGAAGCGTTGAGCCACCAGATCCATCGCTTGGAACTTTCCTTTCGTTTTAGATTTATGACGCTTGTTTTTTAAGGCCATCAAATCTTTCGTTATGTCCTCCTCCTCCAGGTTCTTTTTCTCGGGCGTCTCTTCAGTGGCGGAGATCTTGTTCGGCTGCATTCCAGTAAACTTCCTGAAGCGCTTGATCATAAAGTCTACAATTTCGTACTCATTTTCCTGTCCATCGATGGACTCTTTCACTTCAGAGAACACGTCTAGTACGATGGTTAGGAACATATTCATCAAAATGAAAGTGCCAAAGACCATAAATGAGAAGAAGAATAAGGGACCTAGTACTGGAGCCGCCTCTTCGAGGGCCGTGTAATCGAAAGACCCAAGAAGAATTCCCATGACGGTCTCGCACGTCGAGACAAAGTTATAAAATTCAGTCAAATCTTGGCCAAACACGGCAAAAGCGAACAGGGAATAGGAGAAGAAAAAAACCAAAAATACCACTGAGAAAGCAGCCAAAGGTCCCGCGGAGCCTCTCAGAGTTTGTGCGAGGATGGTTATGCGACGATTGAAGCGAAGAAGCTTTATTGCTTTGATCCACGCCGTGAAGACCACCAGGGCAACCATGTACATGAAGACTTCATTCCAGGATGTTACTCGGCTAAAACTGACGTATTTGCCATGGTTGGCTTCCAAGCTGGCAATCGCCTTGCTGACAAGCATCATGCGCGTGAAAAACATTCCCACACAAGTGAATACCAAAATGATCATGGCGAACTCCACGTAGTTCCAGAACTCTTTAAAGTAGCCCTTGCGTAGTCTGTAAAGCTGCTTTAGTTCCTGGTAAATGAACACGGCAAAGAAGAGCAAGATAAAGAACTCGCACGCTATGAGAAATGATTCGAAACTCCCGCCGAAAGTGAAAAGGCGCGCTATCTTCAGGTCGGTGAAGAGAAAAATCCCGTTTGTTGGAAGAAATTCCACCACCAGAGTCAAAGCACAAAACAGGTTTGCCACTGGATTGTAAGTGGTTACCTCTGTGATAACTGCACGGGTTTGAGTGTCAATCCATTTGTTTCTTTCAAGTGTTTCAATAATTTTTGTTGCGTTGTCTCTCGAGTGCCCTAAATCTGCCACAAATCCTCCACCGCCGTAAGTCGACACGTATCCTAAAAATTAGAAATTAAATAATTACTACACAGGTATACAATTAAAAGTCCTTTTCCGAAGTAAAATTAACACCAGTGACATATCTTGAAACGACAGAAATTCAAACATCCCCACATTCCCAAATTTCCCACTCCAGGGTCGAACCTACAGGGGGAATGAGTACAAGTTTTTGGCGCAAAGAGTTTCCGGGATCGTTTGGGTAGAAAAACGTAATTTATAATTTTTGAATCTTTGCCGTGAATACCATTGACCAATCACCAACTGACGCTTATTCACCTCAGGGTTCCCAGAAATTACTGCACCCAAAGCTTGTACCCATTCTTTCTAGAGTTTCTGAAGTGGCTTAATACCGGCAGGAACGTGCATGTGAAAGTAAATAATAGACAAGTTGTAAACGATCTTCTTCCTGGAATTTAAGCGGAGTATATTCGCTTCAAATAGGGGCTAACCCTGTCAAAAGGTGTCTTCACTGCTTTGACGCAGCAGTCACGACGAACTCGAAACTGGACTACTCTTGCTTTAGTGAACTCCTCCTAAAACTTGGTGTTCTGTTTTAGTTAGAGTCGGTAAAAGCGTGGTATTTTGTAGTTTGTTTCAGTCGAAGGTCATTTTACGTACTATCAGGTAAAGGGGAAGTGCAAGTTTCACTCGCTTAATCTCACAATACTCTCCTTAGCCTGTCCTTCGGTCCTCTTTATTGGAGAATGCCCGAAACATGCAAGGTTAAAACACGAAAGAGACCAGGTCGAGAGCAACAAGAGACCAAAACTTTAATAAAGTTAACTTACCCATCATAGGTATAGTGTCCAGTTCATCTGATGTGTTGAATTCCCAGGCTTCGTAGGTGAAAGGAGGATTATAAAGTGATTCGTTCTTGAGTGGTTGCCAGCCAACATCATACTGACCCTTATCTTCGGACATGAACCCGTACCAGGTATTGCACTCGCCCAGATAAGACCTGAAATCCGGTGCCACCTCACAGCTCTCTGTTTATAAAATCACAGTGAAACGTTTTACAGACGTTTAGAAGCTACGACAGAAAAGTAATTTTATAGTCCCTGTTTTGAATCTTTCTTCCCAAGGGTCAGCAAAACCATAATTAGAATCACAAAGAGTTTTGCGAAATCAACACAAACAAACAAACGGCCCAATAAACCGTTAATAATAAATTTCTTTTTTTTTTTTTAAAAAAAAAAATTAATCCAAATTTTCATTCAGTACCCTTAACTTGCATGGTGTACCCTATGGTTCCAGGAAGCCCATAGTTTATAAGTCCCCGGCTTCTATATAGAGTTCCTTGCCACTACCACTTTAAACATTTGATCTTGTAAATAACTTAGTTAGAATATTGTCAGTATTATCTTTAATGTATTATAAATTTCTGTATACTGTTGTTGCATTTCTGGTTAATGGCAAAAATAAATGAAGGGATGCTCGCACACGAAAAATGAGTTTGACAAGAGACAAGATTGTCTAGTCCAGAAGTTTGGGCTTCGTCGATTTCAAAGGCTTGACGCGATTCACGAAGAGCCTCGATTTCAACTTCTCAGAGAAGAAGACGAAAGGAGGCTCTGTTCGCAGGCTGAGATGGACTGGGATCAGGGCTGATGAGGTGATATTCGGTAAAGAAATATCAACAACTAAGCGTCAAATGTTTTTTTTTTAAAAACACAAATTCGGGTTTATGACCCCTCTTCAGAAAAACCGTTGTACAGTACTTCGCAATACCACAGACAGAAATGATCGAAGCCCACACAAGATGTATGTAATGTCCCAATTCAAATAAAACTGAAAATGATATTCAGTCCTTTTAGTTGAATGGTGAAAAGTATGAAAGGGAGAGAAAGAATAGGTTCCAGCCTTGCAGACCAGCTAGGCCCATCTGCGCTTGTCGTGTATACCTCCAGCTTTACAGTCAGTTAGTCCATATGGTGTGACCATTCCGATAAATCGCCTTCGCTGGAATTTTCGAATACTGCTGTTTGTTTTTATTCTTATTACTTTACAATATTAAAAAAAATTAAAGATTTTGATTTTGAGAGTATTGTCTTAACAGGTACGATAAATTTGGCTAACAAAGATCTTTAAAGATTACTCACGGTTTTGAACTCGGAGTTGTCTTAGTCTCGCCATTCCAATAATGTAGGCCATCATTTCTGGTGTGAATCCAGCATCAGTGGCATTCCCATTGTACCAGGATGTGGTGTAGAGCGCGTTCATCAACGTGGTCTTGGCGTAGGTATAAAAGTTCTCACGATTCCCGATCTACGGGGAAGAAATACAAGTGGTAATGTTTATGGTAATTTCGCGGATGAAAGAACAGTGCCACGCGCTATCGTTCCATTTACGAGCTTACTATTTTATGAGATCAACTACTACTGAAATGATCCTAAGTGCTTATCAATAAAGATAATTGACCAATCAGATCAATAACCAGAGTATAATACCATCAACTGACGTGATACAACTCACTTTGACTCTGAAGATGACTACCGCACAGGTTGTCGAAACGTCAGTCACTGTCAACAACAACAGTCCTATTCAGGACTACGTTCACCCGGACGATCAAACTCAACCTACTTTTGAAATGACTCCTGGGTTCAAACCTTTCACAATAAAGATAGTGTTTTTGAGGTTTCCTTTCCTTTGATGTTATTGATCAGCCAACAACAACAGAAATTGAAAATGTGCGCATAAAAGAAGTAACTCGTGCAGAGATTAAGTTTGTTTAAGAATACCGTTCTTAAAACTTTAACTGGCAGATCTGAAATCTCTTCCATGCTCTGTCAAAAAGTGTCTTACTAAATCCACTACAACCCTGGGTACTAGCCTCGTGTGCGCATGTAAAATGGTTAGGCGAGGGAAGTAATTAGTAATTCGTTCACATTGAGAGAAAAACTTACCGCTGAAAATGATTTCTTTCCTCCATACACTCCGTCCACGAACGTGTCATACATTGTTTTTCTAAAAGCGAATGATTTTGGATCTCGATGAGAATAACTGACGATGCACAAACAGGCCACGAAAAACACGTAGAGAGCAACTTCCTTGATAATTGCGTTCATCTTCATTTCTTTGAACCTTGAAAATGATTGAAAAAGAGCCTTTGTTAGATAGTCTATGATTGGTTGATCTCTAGGTCTCTTATTTATAGCATTGTGCTCACGCCATGCTAGACAAAGAGTGGTCTCTTGTTGGAGGTGGTTGAGATTAGTATCAAGTGATTTGCGCCTTCAATGTAAAGATCAACTCTTCAACGATTTATTGAGAGTGATGTACGTTTGAAGGATGACCTTCTACTGCAGCTTTCTTAAGCAAATCTTTATCACAGCAAAACTGAGTAATCGTTACCTTGCAAGAAACATTTGAAACAAGGGACGGTTGTTTCGAATTCAACACCTTTTGAGAGGAAATGGTCTAAAAATTCTCATTAGAAGGCTAGCAAAGCTCCCAGATAATTACAAATATGCACAAAAGAATAAGATTAGAAGACACTGGCAACCAAAAACCATACCTGATTTGTCTAGCCTGCTCCAGCTTGTCTTTGTCAGGTGGTTGAAGACGAATAAGAGTCTTCGGTTTCACTCTTCTATCTGTCGTCTCTGAAAAAGACATATACTCCGCTATCAAGACGAGTTGTTTTTACAACTTTATCTAGTTTTTCTTTGTCATCTAGATTCAAGCATCTACAACCCTGGTCGACATAGTTGAAACACTTCATGGGACTCTCCTTGTTCGCCTTCACAAAGTTGACAATGGTTGGTGTTTGAACATTCACTGGCAAAACTCTCGGTTTTTCCCACCTTTGTGAGGAGGGCGGGGTACAGGGTAGTGAGGTGTCAAGTGTTCCAACGATTAATGGCCGAGGTAGTAGATCCATTGGTAAATTAAAACCAATTTACAGGGCCAAATTACGTACAATTTGCTTTTGCGTTTCTATACCGTAACTATATATTTCGTATTATGCTAAAAGATTTTATAATTTAGATTTTCCCGCCTCCAATGTTAAATAGATGAACTATAGAATGGGTTCGTTTTATCCGCTGATTAGGATCATCACTCCCTGACCTCTGGGGCTATCATGCAACCAATCTTCGTCTTCCAGTTTTTTCGTGTCACTGCCCTCCTCCTCCTCTTCTTCTGCTGGTTTCTTGATAATAACAGCGATGATGAGAGCGATTCCAAGGATTTTAATGGGCTGACTGATCAGTACGTCTTGAAAGAACGATATTAACATGGAAGAGATCCACTGAGCAGACTTTTCTTTACCAAACTGCAATCCGTAGAGCACGCAGAAAAAAGCCGTGGTAAAACAAGTCAAAAAACAAACCACCCAGGCGATGTAAAGGAACCAGTAAGGAAGCAACTTCTTCTTTTTCTTTTTCTTCTTCTTCTTCTTTTCTGCTTCTTCCTTTCGCTCTTGCTTGGAAATTCGGAAGCTAATGTCTTCGGATTCTACGCCAGAACCCATCCCAATCTGATCGTTTTGTGCCAAGTTTGTACTGGAGGAGGCAAAGTCTAGGAATTGTTCTTGTTTCGAACCCGTGTGCAAAATCTCAATAAAATCGTTCTTGTTACTCTTGTTGAAGTCGAACAGGCAGAAAAATAACTCTTGGAACCACCAACAAGTTCTATTTTTGCGCCTTTCTTTCAGTTCCTCTTTTGTTGGTTTGGCCTCAACGTTTCTGAATATCCCCACGATTAAAATATTCACAGGAATGATGATTAGACTACTCATGATGCCGATTCCAATCTGTGCAGGGCTAAACGCTAAAGGTCCTATATGTAGCGTGGTAGCTGGATCACTCTCCCCTCCCACCTGATAAAACATGGCGTTTGTAATCATGGAACAGTACAGCAGTGTTAAGCAACAGCTTATGCGCTGGAGTCGCGTGAAACGACTTCTGGCCGGGCGAATGAACACTGAGAACCACAGGTGGCCGTCTGCTAAATTCTTCTGTGTGGTGGAGTAAAACAAGTGGTTGAAGCTTGTCATCTCCTCATGGCCGGCGACTGGAATTAGTCTGTCTACTGTACCATCACCCTCTTCCACTGCTAGCCATCCCTCGCAGATAAACAGGTATTTCTTGTCACTGTTCAGGTCGTGCACGACTACCCGACTGACATACCAAGACGGGGATCGACCTGTCAAGAAGAAGTTAAGACGTATTAGGATAGGGCTCAGTAAACTGAAAATAACAGGATGTTTTAGTGTTCCTCTGCAAAAGGTGTAGATAAAATTTGTCGTAAGATTGCATGAAGCAGGAGTCAACATCAGCAATCGTGCATTTTCCTAACAGCAACTACTGCTCCACGATCTAAGGGTTTGTAACAGCCTAGATGTTTCCAAGAAATAAAGGAAACGTTTAACATCCCTAACCAGTTTATTGCCTAAGACTGAAGGCTGCTAGAGGCGTACCATCTATCCATAATATGCACGAGTTTCTCGGCGTTTTATTTTTAAGAGGTAACACCAGCAGTAGTTGCCTTTACGTACAGAGTAACAAGTTTTAAGAGTAAACACAAAGATTAAAAAACTTGCCGGCATTATTGTGCCATATGTGTAAATAGTTAAGCTCCCCGAGGCTTTCAGGAAACGTTGCCAGAAACACGTCAACACCGCGCCGTTGAAACGTCTTTCGCTTTGGATCCCTCAGAAGACGAGGCTCGCTTTCTCCTTCGTCACCCGACAGAATAAAGCTCACCTCAGCTGTAGTGGCTGCCCTCTTACCGTAACCCGTATACACTGTAATTTCATAGTGCTGTCGATCAAATGGCTCGTTGTCTTCGAGAGGAGTCACTCCAACCTTCAACACAAAATGAATATTGGACATTTAGACGATGAGCAAATTTAGTAGTTGATTTGTGGCTGGCTTTGGGGCCGAGCTAGATGAAGCAAGTCTTACGCCTTGCTTGGCAAGAGATGCGTGTCATGGCAACACTCGGGCTTCTCAAGTTTGTTCGAGTAAAAAAACTTCTGAAGCCAGTATCTCATGTGCTCAGCTGTTTTGAGATAAGTTTACTGAACCAAGAATGTTATTAGTGGCTTTCCTTTGTTCTTTGCTGAACCTTTTTCTTAGGTAAATAAGAAACGGTACAAAGTCTTGTTTTATAAATGTGATAATAGCACCGTTTAAGTAAACATTGGTAATGGGTTAAACCTTTGGGCTAAGCATTCCCCCACTGGATAGCCTGCCCGAACAAACAGCTGACATTTTGCAAAGCTACCGCTAGTTTTCTCCGCTTTCAAAACCCCGTACTAATGACCTGGCTCTACCCAGATCTGGGAAGTACTTCCTATTGGTTAAAACAAGTTTCCCTCACGGCACGACCAATCAGAAGCACTATCTAGATCTGGGTAGTGAGGGATACGTCAGTACGGAGTTTCTGCGCGCGTTCCTCCGACAAAATTTAGCGAGGAAACCAGTGTTTGGCATCACGAATTTATGTTGACTGTTTTGTAGGGCTACCAACTGGAGTAATAATCCGTACAACACGAATTCAAACAACCCTTAAGCAAGCGCCTCAATACCTTTCCAATGTCTTTCTTGTCCTCTCTACGAGCATAAACAGCCAGAATCAAATATACTCCAAATATCCCCAATACAGCAGCAAGAGCGACAGGGTTCTCCGCCAGATTGGCGTTAAACACTTTGTTAAAATCAATCGGATTGGGCGCCACGAACATGCTACCTGCAAAATGGTTAATTTGATGAAGTTTTCAGTGTTTTTGTTGAGTGTCAGTTCTGAAAGTTAGTACAGAGAAAAGAGAAAAGAAACAAGCAATAGTATAATACAGTCAATGCTTCGGAGCAAATTAATACTGGCAGAGTTTCTTTAGGGTATACAATCACCGAGGAATGGGTTAAATTTGAGGATTGACGTGCGCACTTTGTTACGATCATCTGAGAGGTCTCTCACATAAGGTATTGTCCAGCCCAAATCAAAAGCCAGCGAGAAAACTGTTTTGGGTTTAGACAAGCGAGCTAATTTGCCTGACTTAGAATACCTCTAGTCGAACACTTTTCGACAACGGTAAAATTGATTTAGAGACTTTCCTTAAACGGTTACGGATGTTTCAACAAATTTTTAAAATAACAGTTGCCAATTCCCAAGAGGATTTGAATTAAGCCAACAGTTTTGTAAACTTTCCAACTCCTGGTTATTTATTACGTTTACACTTACTTGCAATGGAAATTTTGTTGACACTTCTCTTAAACCGCCTTCGTTTGATGACCTTCTTAGCGGGTGTTTGGTCTTGACCGCTTGCAGGAGCTGCGGCAGCAGTTGTTGCTGGTGCTACTGTGGTAGCTTCTTCATCATCCACTTCCTCCTCCACTTCTTCTTCCTCGCCTGGTTTACACAAGCAGTGTGTGCTGTTAACGATGGTTTTAGGGCCCACCTGTTAAAAGGAAAGATAAACAGTAAAGACGCATGCACGTCGCAAGGCTTACATGGTCGAAGTTTGTCTCAGGCTATGTTCAGACGGCAACGGACGAATTTTCGACCGGTCGAAAATTCGTGCGTTTAGGTGTTCCGTTGACCGTGAATGCGCAAGATTACTCGAAATCTCATCCAAACGTTAGAGTCATAAAGGTAAATACAGTAAATCCTCTACTAAGCCCCCCTTTTTCAGGGGGAGAAAGTTAATAAGCCCCCCCCCTCCCCTCTAAAACTTCGCGTAGACTGATCCAGGATGGTTTATTTACCAACTGGAAATTTGGATTTGATTCTGATTCTCGGCTGCATGAACTCCAACCATTTTGTTCTTGAGCTTCTCCGCTTTGTGTTCTAGTTCTTTGTGGACAACTGATACCATTGTTTTTTCTAAAGTAAATAAGCCCCCCCCCTCCTCCCGAATAAGCCACCCGTTTCTATTAAGCCCCCCTCAGATAGGTTTGAAATAAATAAGCCCCCCAGGGGGATTAATAGAGGATTTACTGTACACGTATCCACATCAAAAACAATTAAAAAATATCGTTTTTAAAAATGTACTAAATTAAACAAGATAATTTAAACCTACCCTACAGCCTTTCGATGTCCAAGTGTTAGTTTCCTCGTCAAACATTTTGCAAGCAGGCAGGTAGATACGCAATGCGTAACTCGTGTTAACGTCGCCTAACGAATCCTTGTTTACAGCTTTCACACCCAGATAAAACTGTTTGATGGTGATATTTTGTGACGCATCGGCTTTCGTATCATTGTCGCTTTCATTTTTGTTTCCAAACAACAGCGTGTTGATAAGTGTATGAGGAATCACGTAGGTGAATGGATGTGGTCTCTTCTTCATTTTCTTGGACTCCTCCAGAGTTGGAAACGTATGCGCGTAATCATAATGATTGGCGGTCGGTTTCTTGTCATACCTCACTGCCACCATGAACCGAATACCCGGATGGAAAGTCTTAATCTCTACCGCTATCCCCGCGTCGAGGCTTGAGCGATTAAATTTGTGCACTCGCATGGGCGGATCGCCGTCTTCAAAGTGGTTTAACTCCATAGGTTTCACTGGGTTTATCTTCAGATTTCGCGGTACAAACATTTCTAGTTCCTGTCCAGCTAGGTCTAACGGTTTTCCGTTTCCATCGGTGAGTGACAAGCCAACAGTTTTGGAGTTAAGATCACTTGAGCTGTTATCCCACGCAAATGGGTTCTTGTCCATGGCAGAAAGCTGAAAAAAGTAAACGAAAATGGATAGTTTGTACTGCAGCATCTGGGTATTCAAACCAGTCTGTATTAACAAAAAAACTGTCGGGATGACACTATTTTTCCTTGTTTTTTCTTTTTTTCGATTAAAAAAAAAACGAAGGGAAGCATAAGCAACTTTCTAAGACCCGGTTTAGACGCCGAACTTTTCAAGAGCAGAACCTAATTTGCAATAAGGCCGACCCAAATTATTTAGACAGGCCGAATTGATTCAGACGCCGATCTTAATTGCAGCTGAACTAAGTTCAAAAGGCGAAAAATGCTCATTTCGGTCAAACAGCTTACAAAATACGTTATAATAATTTATGCATTAGGTTCGGTACATGAAAAATCAAAGCCGTTCCAAAGTAGCTCCAAAGGCGAAAATCCCGGCCGGGCTAGGCGAAAAGAACGGCTAAGCCGTTACAAATTGAAACAGGCGTTCCTAACTGATTCAGACGCCGAACTTTCCATGTACTTAATTCAATGTATTAGGTTCGGCTCATGATAAGTTCGGCGTCTGAACCGGGCCTAAGCAAAAAAAAAGACACCCGACGTTTAAAAAACAAACCGCAAGCGCCAAATGATGAGTCACATTATTGCAAAATTTAGTTCCTGGAAATTTCTCTGTTTAGTATCACCCAACCTCCTGTCTTAATAATACCACTTTATGGTAAGATGTCGAGTCGACTTTAGGGAGAAGATTAAAGAGCTTGGTTATTTAAGCAATAGACCACACTTTCTATGGGTCTATCGGCGTGATAACCCACGCGGGATGTTGGGAGAACACGAGAAAAGCTTCTAAATCACGAGAAATATTACAGCGCAACTTACATCTAACTGACGTCAGAAGAACATTATTTCATCACTCACCGTTGAGCCAATAGCGCTCGTAGCTCCCTCCTCAACAGACGCGTTAGCTGGTCCAAACAGTCCCAAAGGATTGGGGAGCCTGACCCCGCCCATTCCTTCCCCCTCTTCTGCATCCTCGTCATCATCCGCTCCTCCTATACTATCCAAGGTCTTTCTACCAACAGACATGTCCAGATTCGGAGAGGAGATGGCCTTGGGTTTGCCTCCTGCCTCTAGCTGCTTTAGAAGAGCACCGCTGACTTTGTCAATAACACCAAGGGCGTTTTTGGTGTTGTTTTGACTCTTGCTCTGTACAGGAAAATTCACCGTACCAATGATCAACAAACTACCTAGAGATGGGTGGGGGCGGGGGCGGGGGGGGGGTGGGGTCGCTAGAGAAAAAAACCATGTTCCTCAGCCCTGAGGGCCTTGGTTAGGTATAAAATTGGAGGACGTTCTCCCGGCCCCTTCCCATAAACCCACCACTATAGTTTTCTTTTTTAAACAGATTGTTATACGAGGTTATTTATTTATTATTTATTTATTTTTAAATTCTAACGAAAAGAAATCTTATGGAACTTACCGGGTCGCCTGCAGAAGTTCCATTAGCAGCTTTTTGATATGATTCAATAGAGGCTCCAACTACATTCCCTATAGCAGAACCTAGGCTCTTTGCAACATTTTCCACGTCACGCGCACTGTCGCTTCCTGATAAGAAGTCTCCCATTTCGTCCAAGGCCTTTACTGTCGCGTTCTGTTAAAAAAAAAAATAGTAAAAGCAACGCGTTATGCTAGGTCAGCAGGCTCAGGACTCAGAAGGCAAGCACTTTATGACCATTTTATACAAAGGGGGTAATTTCGAGTAAGCACCAGCAAAAGGAAAGAGCAAAAATATATATAGATGTGGAAAATCTTGTTGATTAGGTATCGCGTTTACTTAAATCGAAGTTCCCAGTAGGCCTGACTTAACTTTACTGCACAAACCTGTAAGTTAAACGGATCTCTTTTTTGCCTTTGAGCAGTGCGCGTTTAGCAGTCAACTCTTTTCTACCAGACAACTCTCTCACTAGACGTACACATTCCTGAAACGGACACCAGTAGTTCATCCCTGCCATTGTTCAGTCATTTTTTTTCAACCTTCATCAGGACGATATGTCTCACTATATATTTGACAAGCGTGATGTCAAGATAGCTGGATATTGGCCAAGTTCTTTCTTGCGTTTTTATGGACCGAGACGAAGTCGAGGTTAATGAACAAACTAAAGCCAATATTCAGCCATCTTGACTGAACGAGCGTGGTCAGTAAAGGATTTACTATATATGGCCGAAACAAAATCTGTTCTTCCGGTAAAAATTCGGAAAACCCGAGCGGGCATGATGGATTCGCATCATCGCCCGCCCGTTCACGGGTTCAGCCATACAATAAGGTCACTAAGAGCCAGTTCAAGCGGTATCCGTTTTTAGAAAGAGTGCACTTAATATACTTTTAAAATGACTTTTTTCCAAGTAAAAATAAATGTGTGAAATATGCTTATCTACTTGAGCATCCTCGTCGATTTCCCCAGTTGCTTGGGTCAGTGAATTAAGAGCTTCTCCTTTCATCGCTACACCGTCAAAATCTTTAACAGGGAGTTCACTCAATGCGCCTGCTACTTTGCCGCGGAACTGCAATACGGAAAGAAAGCAAAAAAAAAAGATGCAATTCGATAAAAAACTGAAAAGTGAAGAGTTTTTCAACCCCTGTGCCTCCGTTAAAATGGGTATTCACGCTATTTTTAAAAAGGTAAATTTTGTCTTTGCATCAATTAAATTCCAAAAAATAATGGTCCAGTTTTGTTATTTTAGACTATATATAGGTATTGAAACTGTTTCCTGTCGTCCTTTGCAACGGATCGCAAGGATGGACGTGGATTGAAACTTCAAGTTCAATGCCATGCATTCAACAATAACCAAAAAAAATTATTATGAGCGTTGCCTGAGGAAATTTGCCTAGTATTTCATCTTCATGTCCCTAAGGGAGCATTTTTTTAGTGACACGAGGAGAAAATTAATCAATGTACTTGGTCGAAAAAAGATTTAGTTGTTTTCAAAACGCGACGCATAGTAATGAAGCCCCTCAAAGGACCATTTGTTGGATGGAGTTTTTTCTAGGGAAACTATGGCCCTGAGTCAGAGGGAAAGGGAAACAACAACATGAACTGAGGTCACAAAGTAAATACCGTCATTAAAAGATTCAAAAGCCTTAACTCTTCGTCGCAATGAAGTCAGATGTTGGTAGATTCCTTCAATGAATGACCCTGACTTTAAAAATGCACTTTGTATCTGTAGATGATCTTCCTTCAAACATCGACTTGCTCTCTTTTTAACGTGTTAACTTAACTGAATTTTGACTCTATAGAGCGTTTTAACATAACGTCACATCCGCCATATTGTCCCAAAACAATGAAACGTTGGCCATGTTGGTTTTTCCAAAACCAATCCAGTGGGAGTAGAAACTTTTTGTTATGTAAAAAATTTCTTCTGTTCCAGTAAATTTGCATAGCCGCTGGCCACTTGATGAGTGAAAACGCTCTCTTGCTGGTTTGCATGTGACGTCACGTCGGCCATGTTGGTGGTCAACAAAGCATTTCTCTTCTCTCGGAACTGAACTCTATTTTTATGTAAATTCTTCGAGAAAAAATTCTATGTATTGACCTCCAACATGGCCGCCTTTCCACGTGGTTGCAAACCAAGAATAATAGATCAAGATTGCAGGCTACAAAAATCCAGAGAGCACTCCACCAGCCCAAACGACGACGTTTTGGGGGTCAAAAATAGGACCGGGATACCTCAAATTCTTTAAGAAAAGACCAAAAGCTGAACCCTTTAAAAGATCATTTAAAGGAACGCGACCTGATATCCTTCAAACCGCAGAATAGAATTGTAAAAAAAGCCGAGCCTGCCTCGACTAGACTTGCTATCTGCAGGCAAGTCCTAAATTTGTTTTTGTAATTCATTTGAAAATTCAAATAACAGTTGAAGTTGATGTCAAAAAACTCACAGTAGCTCGCTCCCCCTGGGCCGAAGCATCTTCATCTTCTTTACCCGCCTTAGCATTCAGCACCGAGCTGCAAGCCGTGGCGAGTTGCACGGCTTTCTGATCACCTCCTTCTTGGTCTGATGAGCTCGTCATGTCCCCCATTACTTTGTCGTAATCAACTGTATCGGGTTCTAAGACCTGAAAGGACGTACAAGTAATAGTTCTAATCTGAAAACAATCGACATTACGAGAGAAAATATGTGAGTTTGTACCATACGCAGCATGGGCTTCCTGTGGGGCATATCGACCGCGCATGTGCAGTAGAAATCAAGGCATGTGTTTTTCCAACAACTTCAAGTTAGTCACTTGTATGCGTTGTCGTACATTTGTTTACCTAAGATGTTTAGCCGCCGATGTAAGCGCATTTTAATGTATATCGTTTTCAATGTCTCAGTTATTATTTTGGTTTTCTGTCCCCATGACTAGGCTTTGATAGATTGTGCTAGCATAATTTTTGGCATAGTCCGTCATTACGAGCATAATTTGCATCTATCTTCTGAAAAAAGCGCTTCTAGCATAATGTTCACTTTTGACTAGTTTTGATGCACAAATTGTTATTTATTGATCATGCAACCGACTTTTTTGGCCGAGACCAGTGTTATAGACAAATTTCAGTAACAAAATCAATTTTTGTCGTCTTATTAACACATTAATGGGACCTGGGGAGGAAGTGACCAAGGACTTATTCGAGATGACTTAACGCATGCGCATAACTTGTTGGTTACCAAGATGGCTTCACAACCAAGATAGCGTCCGCAATAGCGAGTGCATACAGCGATAACATCCAGGGAATTTATAACAATTTATGTAGAAGTAAAGGAGCTAGTTGTAAATAGGGTTTCCCATTTACTTGTTGCATAGTTATTTAGGTGTTTTACCAAATTTAGAGTATAAGTAAAGGTATAATTTCTGCATTTTTTGCTGAAATGAATTTAATTTACAAAATCTAGCATGATTACATGGCCAAAATTTTCGCAATATGCGAGCACTGTTAGTGGCATATCATGCTACTTTTGCGAGCCGATCTATAAAAGCCTATCCATGACAACAATTTGCAACGTAATATATGTTGTCCGGAGTCTACTTTTGGAATCAGTCAAACCCTCATTTCTCCTGTTTCTACTTTTAGTTCGCAAGATATGTCTAAAATCCAAATCGTGTGATGTCACTTCTTTCTATTGTTATTTCGCGAGGATTAATTTCCGTAGTTTTATAGGTTTCTGGTGGTATATCAAATAAAGATTGAAGACATCCCATAGCAAAACATCCTGCGTCACAAACAGAAAACTGGTTTTGTAAAGTGGCAGATGGTTAACTCTTTAAGACGAGTTAGTGCAAGGTTTATGCGCAGCAGTGCAAACAACTAATGCTGCTTTTCTAGGAAAAAATTAAGTTCACCCGTAAAATTGATCCAAATCAGAACTCCGGAAAATCGCCAAAAAAAGTAAAATGCTAAAAAAAAAACGAACCACCGGAAGACACGAGGAGCCGCATGCAGTAAAATTTCTGTCCCGTAATTTAATCAGTTAAATCATCAAAGTTGACAGGTCTTTCTGATGATCAAAGCGACCGTTCGGTTTACCATTTACACCTTTAGTGCGAAGACTGTCACGGGAACATTAACACCTTCAGGATAATTGCTTACCATAACAGTGGTAGGTCGCGCGCGTCTGGCCGGTTTCGAAGAACGTGATCGTGACTGTTGTTTTCATTCAGTGACTGTGCGTGTTGATATGCCAACGTTTAAAACAGACTGCAACATTAAATTTTTGTTATAAAAGCAAAGAAGCTGCTGAGTAGAAACTAAACCGTCCTAGACTTATTCCGTTTCATTCGTGTACTTTCATCTTGATGGGGTCTGTATGATGAATTTACTTCTGCCTTCTAATCAGGCACGTAAACAACATAGAGATAAAACATTTCATTTTGCTTTTGTGGAGTAATTTCATCTTAAAAAAGTTAAACTAGTGGACCACTTTCCCCGCGTACTTGTAAAAATAGGCATTGAATATGTCGCGCTACAGTGCGAAAATCTTCTTGTTGTGGATTAGATTTCAGTATACATATTCTTCATTTCGCACCAGAATAAATTAGTTTGCGCGCAAAGGGCTTCTAAAAAAAGATCAGAAGGTTTGTCCCGCGTCGAGTCCACCTTCTAGAGATACGCCGGCATGGTAGCTGGAATACATTGCCGAGGCGAAGATCTGGCATTTTTTCCTCCTCGTCTTTTTTTCTCCGCGACGTTTGTTTATATTTGTAGTGAGAATGCCGCGCATATCGGTGGATTTTACTTCAGTCAAGCGGCTTCAGTTCCTGCGGCTTGCTACTCATCATAAAGAAGAGTGCCGGAATCGCTTTGTTCGCCTTTAACAGATTTGTTGTCGAATGCAAGGTAAAAGAACGGACTACTGTAAGGTAAGAATTGAAGTTTCAATTTGTTTCTCGGGGAAAAATAGTGCATACAACTCGTGAAACCCGTGAGTATTACCTCTGTTTAATATACCGGATGTCATGCGATGACCCCTCGCTTTTACGATGGATAGGACGGATACAAACAATAATTTCTTTCGCAACGTTTAGTATCATTTACTTAAAATGGAGATCATCTGAGGACGATTTTTCGTTATATATGCTTCATTTCTTGGCTTATTCCGGCTACGTGCGAAAAATTAGATGACAATGTTTGTGTGCTATAATTATACTGATAATTTCTTGCACCTTGAAACTCATGAAAGCCAAACTTGTTTAACCCTAGCAAAAAACTCTTTTAATGGAGGAACTCAACCTGATAGTTGCACTAAAATCTAATAATTGTTACTGCATTTGCATGCTCTCTGTAACCTCGTGGGTAGAACATACCCGATGGTTACATTAATAATAATCACTGCATTTGCTCTCTGTAACCTCGTGGGTAGAACATACCCGAAGGTCACGTTAATGATAATCATTGCATTTTCTCTTTGTAAACTCGTGGGTAGAATATACCTGATGGTTACATTTAAAATAATAATCACTGCTTTTGCTCTCTGTAACCTCGTGGGTAGAACATACCTGAAGGTTACGTTAATAATAATCATTGCACTTTCTCTTTGTAACCTCGTGGGTAGAACATACCTGATGGTTACATTAATAATATCACTGCATTTGCTCTCCGTAACCTCGTGGGTAGAATATACCTGACGGTTACATTTAATAATAATCACTGCATTTGCTCTCTGTAACCTCGTGGGTAGAACATACCCGAAGGTTACGTTAATAATAATCATTGCATTTTCCCTTTGTAACCTCGTGGGTAGAATATACCTGACGGTTACATTTAATAATAATATTAATCACTGCATTTGCTCTCTGTAACCTCGTGGGTAGAACATACCTGAAGGTTACGTTACAGTAATAATCATTGAATTTTCTCTTTGTAACCTCGTGGGTAGAACATACCTGATGGTTACATTAAAAATAATCGCTGCATTTGCTGTCCGTAACCTCGTGGGTAGAGTATACCTGATGGTTACAATAATAATCATTGCATTTTCTCTTTGTAATCTCGTGGGAAAAAAATTAATGCCTCTCTCCTGGAAATTTTGCCCTGTCCTTTGAGCATAGCGATCTTTGGGTAGCGAATTCACGAAAACAGGTAAAACGCTTTTTTTAACAACAGCATTTATATTATTTGGCTTTTTGAGGGAGGTTAAACATTAATGGAATATAATATAAAAAAAGCTGATAAAGCGGAAAAAGTTATCTTTACAAAATGCGCTTTGACAATGTCAAGGAGTGAAATAAGCTGAAGTTTTGTAGTTAGCCCGAAGAAAACCTGTTCCTGTATGAAAAGCAGTTCTGATTCCCTTCTCTTAACTAGAAGAGATGCATATCCCCGTGAACCAGTTTTTTAACTAGGAGCGATTCCCACTCACTTAAGATACTTTATTGACACGAGTTCCTATTTCAATGTATGTCTAATTCAAGCTTAGCCGCGTGATAGCTCTTCATTAGCGAAAAGGTCCAAGTGATATTTTGATTGACGTGTTGCTTTGGATCCTGAGGTTTTTTAACACCTTTTCTCTAGCTTAACTGGCGAAGATATTCTAGGAATTTGCCCTTCAATTCCAAATTCTTTGATGTGCCGCCAGATGCCGTGCAAAAATATCACCTCTTGCGGCTCCTCGTGTCGCCCAAGATTTTATGGGCCACTCTCCCCCGAGCACCGCTAGGTTTTGCAATACACTTATTTCTACTCTTAATCAAACCCAATATTTCCAATATTCTCGCTTGCCTGAACTATAGTAGTCCCAGCTGTTGTGCTCAAACCGTAGTCATCCATGACCTTCACAATGACTTCAACTGTATAATTACTCTCTGGTTTTCCGAGAGGAAAACATGCCTCCATCTTTGATTCAACACCCGCTGCCATGGGGATGGATTCAACCCCAGTATTCACGTCTGAAAAACAACAAAACAAGATTTTGGTTTTACTTTAAAACCCTAAAACACATAGTATCAAAGGAAGAAAAAAACGGGTTCACACTGTAAATCAGAAAGATCTGTTTTAGCGTTTAAAATGGGGCCGGTACGGTGAGTAAAATACAGTCTTATTTTTGAGTCTCATTTGGCACCCTTAATCAGGGCCAATGCAGTCCAGTTACCTAGGGCTGATTCGGACCCAAGGGCTGAAATGAATCCCAGCGTGGGCTGGAATAGCGTGTTGGTTTAAATTGTGCTCAAATGGCTCCAGGAGGGGCTGAATCGGGCTTTGGCCTGCAGGGCTGAATTGGCACTTTGGGGCTGAAACGGAAATTTTCGATTTTCAGCGCAGTTTTATACAAAACTACTCTACCACTTTATCTCAGCTGTGACAGAATGCCTTTGGCTTTCGATGGCCAGGATGGAAACTGATTGCAACTTGAACAAATTGGGCCAACTTTTTCAAATTAAACTCCTGTACAGTCCGCAACTGACCAAAATATTGACAGTTATCTTGTACTTCGTAACTTCCATCCTACTTTTTCGCTCTTCTTACAGTAATACTTGCTAGTGTATGTGTTGGGTGTGTGTTTGTGTGTATACAGTCTGATATGCTGCCATATTGTACCTCGCACAATAAACTTATTTAAATTATCTTACACAATCTGGCTTCCTGGCATTTTTAACTCATTAGTTATTTCAAGAAGTCAGTACCCCTTTTAGTTAATTGATTAATTTAACAACTTGTAAATAACTAAAATATTCTGCTTTGGGTACAATAAAATTTGTTGAAGGAGCAAAGCCGATCATGCTTTGTTTTTCCCTTTAATTGAATCATTTGATATCTTTCTTTTAGAGTTCCAATAAGTTATCAGAAGAGATGAACGAGAATACTTGGTAATAATTTCAGCTCAGCTTTAGTCAGGCTAGAAATGTCATTATGACAAAGCCGCTTTAACTCCCAGGTGGGTACCTAAAAAAGTTTAATACGGGGAGACTTCGTCCCGCGGTCCAACCCCTCACCCTTTGATATTCCAAGGAACCCCTATCGGTGAAGCCTTCCCGTATCGGCCATTATAGGGAGTAACCCCACAGGCTTTAATGATTTCCATACAGTTACTTAAAGACGTAGTCGAAAGAATTTATTTAACGGTCAAAGCAATTTTGCCTTAGGTGACCATTTTCTCAGACCCTTTTAAGCTGATTGCTGATTTGTTACAAAAAAAAGGGGTTACTGCGTCAGTGTTGGCTTTGTTTAAAAGCACTTTTACCTATTAAGTAATTGAGTGGCTGATCGTCATCTTTCCATCCTGTACATTCAACTCTGAATAAAGTTTCCAATGCAAAGCCTTGGATGAAAGGTACTTCACACTTGCCACCCACCGGTGAAACGTTCATGATCAGCTCTTCTATCACATAACCTCCGGGTTTTCCACCAGGTTTCCACGCATTCAGCTGCAGCCTGTACTTTCGTCCTGCTGATAGGTATCCCGGTTCAATCACCAAACTCTTTGAGTTTATACCTGCGGTTGTTTTATCTTCCCAGTCGGTTTGCTCCTGCCAAGAGTCGTCAAGAGTTTCATCGGCGTTCTCACTCAACAAGGACAGTCTCCATTCGTATCCCAAGCGCGATTCTTCGTTGTAATTGCAATCAATACACCTTCCTTCAACACTAAGCCGTTCTAACGGATTTGTTTTTCGATTTATGTTGAACACCTTCCTAAATGACAAACAACCAAAATGCTATTACCCGTATGCTTTTTGCTTCATGTTGGGTTGACACAAAGCTTTAGCTTATCTCGGGTTATATAAATGTATATTATTATTATTATTATTATTATCATTAATTATTTAATTATTATTATTATTATTATCATCATCATCATTATCAACATTATCATATCTTACTACCTCCTTCACCATAGACAGGAGCTGGGGTGTTTGGTTGAGTTCTTGTACAAAAGAGCTTTGTACGAGATATCCGTCATCATCACAATTAATCGTTGTTCAATTGAAATCAAAGTTCGTTGCAATGGGTTAACGATCATGTGTACTGAAAGTTTCGATAAATAACGCAAAGGGATCTACAGGGAGACATGTTTCACCTGTTGATTGAGGTCAGGTTTCTATCATTTTATGGAATCCAACATAACGGGCATAACAACTTGCGCAAGAAACTTTATATACTACGAATGTGCGAAGTGCCTCAAGGACAAAACGAAAAGCCTCTCAGGGACAGCATCTTTCGCGTTAAAAAGATTCTAGATTTTGAAAGTGGTAAAAACAACCTTACACCAATAGGTTAACATAACTGATTCATAGCAAGTTTTTGTATCCTCGGTGCCAGGAATAAGAAATGCTCCTGCTGTTTCTTCGAGCAAAAAGGACCGGGTTTTTTTTTTCACCTGAAAACTAAGGTTTGACCCACCAATCTTTGACTGCAGAGATCACTGCACTTCTTACAAAATAAGATTAACGCTTCAATATACAAGAAGACAAGAAAAATAAAATAAAACCTTACACTATCACCATGGTAGGAGGTTGCCCGACGAGAACTTCAACCATTTGGTCAAAGTGAGCCTCGCGCGAATCTTTGGAGATGGTGAGTCTAAAATTGTAATATTGTTTCTGGTAGAAATCACCGGTGTACACAACAACCTGTCTACTGTTGCGTCCGAATTCGTAAGTTCCGTTTTTCCAACAGCCGCCTTGACTGTTTGGATCCGGATCAGTCGTTGGGAAATCTTCGCCCTTTCTCCGACACATCCAAGTGAACGTAATGCCACTAATGTCGCCAGGAACGTCCGGGTCTGAAGAAGCTGAGGCGTCAAGAGTAAGGGGTAACTCGTAACCAATCGAGCGCATAGAACCCCCTAAATAGAAAGGAAACTGAACATATCAGAACATCATCTCAGAGTGACAAAAAACTGTAACGTTTTAACGAACTAATGCGAGCATATTTTCAAGTGTTGTGCATCTAAACGACACGCTCCAAAATTTTGGGAATTTATTTCTCATCATTTAGCCTGGACCAAGCATCCATGCTTTTCAGCAAAAAGTCTCTTTAATGAACATCAAACAAACCTTGAAGCTTCATTGAAGCAGGACTTTTGTCCTTTTGAAAAATGCAGCCACTTTAGTAATTAAAATACTGTACTGTTCTGCCCGAGAACTCGGGTTACAGTTGCCTCAAGGCGTGTAGGTTGCTTAGTAATCTCTATCACTATCAAAACTTTGGCCTGAAGACTAAACAGAGGGAGTGGAAACGGGCTCCCTAACATGCGCTGGCTGGTGGCAGATCAGGATTCCGATACTCTTCTTTCCATGACCTTACCTGTCACTTTCGAAAATTTTCAAAGCTATTCTATTTTGTTTTAGGGTATTTTCCAACATCATTCAGATCAAAATACCTTCATAGCCTTTGATGTTCGCCAAAATGTGTGCCGTTCGAACTATTTAATACTTTAATTTATTTCATTCCTTTCGTCCTTGCTTTGACTTCTACAGTGATTAATCTACCAAACATACCTTAGACTTTCCATGGCTTTACACAACCGACGATTACATTCCATAATTTTCCCGGTCTGGAAATGAAATTCTTAAATTCTATGACTTTCCGGGTCTTTAACCACAAGTACAAGCCCTGAAGAAGCAATTCCTAACTTACCTCTTATAACTGCCACCAATTCTGAACGCTCAACCTCAATCACAACGGAGGAAGTAGCGGAGATGTCCGACAAATCCCTGTCCGTACCGATGAAACCCAGTTTGAGGACAATCTTAATATGACCAAACGGAAATGTCCCTTTGCTGACGACTAAATCAGCTATCTCCAATTCGCTTGTTGTGGTGGGAAGTGCTATCTCCCTTAAAAAGCAATCGCCCTGATCTTTTGAACAGGGCAATTCAAATGGTTTACTTTCGTCATTTGGATCGTCACGCGTAACTTGAAATACGCTCCACTTAAACAAGAGACTGGCGGCCACAGGACATCTGTACTCTGCTTGGTGTTTAAGCAATAATTTTTGTGACCTCTTTATTTTGGAGGGTGGAGATTCAGATCCGTCACCGACTATTTTCACGGTAGGCACATCACATGGATTGCTGGTAATGTTCACAAGAGTAACCGCAACTGTTGAAGAAACGACATTGCTGGCATTCATTGCGACAGCGTATGTGTCCATGGTGCCGAACCTATGGCTCAGGTTAGCGCGCGTCTGATTGGCACTGAACTCGTAGTAAACGTGATTTGGTGGTAACCCTCGGTTACAGCGTTCGTCACCAAAATGAGCCTTATACGAATCTTTAAAGTCAAGAACAATGCACATGTCTGTACCCGGCTCTTCAACATCGATTGTGAAATATGTCGAATCTCCCAAGTATGTCGGATAACTTGAGTTTACCGATATAGCTCCAACAGCTTTTTGGATGATTATCTCTTTGCTTGTGGACATTTTTGCCAGAATATTGTCCACTTCCACCGAAACTGTATACGTTCCGGAATGATTAAATATGTGAGCGGTATAGGGCTCGGTGGTTATACCCGGCGTTGAACCATCACCGAAATGCCAAATGTACTTGAGATCTTTTAGTTGAGAAGTCACGTTAAAAAGTACAACTTCCTTAGAACGGAAATAGTTTTTCAGCTCACCAAATCCTTTGCTCCGAGCTCCGTCTTCAAAACGTTCCGCGGTTAGCACTAAATCTATGAGTTTCTGCACGTCAACTTCAACCGTTAATAGTAGGCTACTAACATTGTTGGAAATGTTGACAGAGGTAGAAAAAATCCCTTCTCTTTTATACTTGTGGGCATGTTCGAAGGGTTGCATGGGTGAAATTTTCAAACTCTCTATGACTGTGGGAATAGACCCATCACTAAAATTCCAGACACAGATGGCGTTTGTTGGAGGCGTTGCATTGCCTGACAAATTTAGATGGAAAGTTACCCGACCAGGATTAAGCCTAACGGGACTATTTGTACTGATGAAGATGTTTGCAACCGGGAACTCTACTACCAAGGTATGTGGCAACTCAACAGCGATCGAAGACAGAGAATTGGAAACTGTGACATTTACGTGAAATTCACCTGAGTAAGAATACGCATGACTACGAGATACCAGCTCGTTATCCTCTACGACAGTGTGATAAGCATCGTATGTACTACCATCATTAAAATCCCACGAGTATTTCATCCGAGAACCTTCTCTCACTGTAACGTCAATAAAAATGTTTTCATGTACCCGTATGAATCTCTTGCCACTTGTAACGGTTACGTCTTTGACTGGAATGTCTACTTCGAGAATTTTTGCATACTCTTCGTTCCCCAACCGATTCTGGCAACGTACGGACGAATTGTAAGAACCAACGGCCGAAAATTGATGATAAAGTACTTTTCCAAGATGAGAGTAGTCGATCTGAAATGTTTCGCCGTCCCCAAAACTAACTGTACAGACGAAAACAGTCCCGGTAGTCATCTCAATTGTAATGCTCGAGTTCGTGCCAAAAACGGATGGGGAAGCTCTTAAAATCAGTCCGGTAATGTTTTCGAGATTCTGCACCACCAGGGTTGCGTTGAGAAGTCGCTTGACGGAGTTCACGGCATTAAAACAAGTGATTTCTACCTTGTACGTTCCATTAGTGGTATACACGTGGCTTGTGTTATATTTTGTACTTATAGTAGGAGGTGATCCGTCTTTGAAGTCAAACGCGCACCTGACATTGGTTCCATTTTGAACTTCCCGATTGACTGTCACCGTGTCTCCCACCGCGAAATAAACCGTCTGTGTGACATGCGGAGCAGGGATTGTGAAAACGACGTCAGTGACTGGAATTTCTACAACGGCGTGAGAAGTGATGGAAATGTTGGGTCCAACCAAGTTGAAAGCGAAGACTGTGACCGTGTAGTTTCCCACGACAGCATAGTTATGTAAGATGAATCCTCTTCGACTCTCTTTGAGTACTGTAGTCGTTTCATAACGAGGACTTTCGTCTCCGAAATCCACCATAAAGGTAAGATTGGTACCTTCGGCAGTTTCCCATTCTATTTCTGTTGGTAAGCCAATCGCTCGAGCTTCGATTTGCCTAGCGAATCGTAATCCTTGAATCATGTCGAACACGGAAATGTGACTGTGTAGAACCTTTTGGTTCACAGAGTTTGCAACAATAAGGGTGATGTGATAGTTTCCAGGAGACTTGAATGTGTAATAAGTCACATTGGTCTGAGTTATCAGACGATTGCCATCCCCGAAATCCCAGAAATAGCTAACGTTTGAGCCTACGTGCCATGCAATACTAAACTCAACAGAATCGATCGTGTTCACGACTTTAGAGTGAGTCATGAAGATTTCGCCTCCAACAGGTATATCCACGGCCACCGAAAGCGTTTGTGTGATGTTAGAAGATACATGCTTCATTCCAGTGCTGTTATACAGATGACGTATGACGAAATCTGTCGCGTGCACGTAATGCGCTGCCATTATGTAGTGCTTGTGGTGTACGCTGTGATTGCTTGTTCGGAGGAGTGTTTCTCCTAGGTTTGGCTTGCCGCTGTTCTCAAAATCAAACGCTGCACCTTCAGCTGGTGTTACAATCGCGAACGCGAGCTCTCCACCTTCGGGAATCCACCCGAGTACATCTCCTTGTTTCACCGAGGGTTGCTCATCGATCGGCAGACTCTTGATATGATGCCCGATTGTATCTATTTGGATTCGATTTTCCGATATGAGTTCATAATCCGCTCTAGGTGCTTCACTCTGGTATGGGGCCAGAGGTTCACAGGAGGTGTTACTTTGGGTTGTATTGGCAATACAAGTACGTCGGAATATGCAATATATTTCCCAAGGCTGACATCTGTTTATATTGGTGGGTTCACATTTGTCACTGCTGGGTAAACAGGACTTGCCGGACAAGCAATATTTCTCGCCAGCAGCACACTTCGGCCGGAGGATCTGAAAATAGCAAGAAACATCAAAAGAAATTTAAGGCCCTTATCAGACGGCGTACTTCACATGAGCTGAATCGAATTCAGGGAATTCAGTTCATGTGAAGTGTGGCTTCTGAATCAATTTCAAAATTGCTAATTGAATTTGGCTCTGCTTAGCCGTGCTTCACGCCTGGCTCAGCCGGGAATAACGGCCATGGACCGGCCTTGATTCAAGAACTTCGAATGAGCTGAACCAAATGTATAAATATTTGTAACGCAGTTTAACAAAATGCGCGTTTTTTCCCTATTGAATTTAGTTCGGCTGGAATAAAGATCGGCGTCTGAATCAATTTTACCGACTTAATTAAGTAGAGCCAGCCTAAATTCGAATTGGATTCGGGTTATGTGAAGTACGGCTTCTCAGCCAAGCCTTAACGCTCGCAATTATAATTTTTTTACCGGTCGAAATTGGTTTATCAAGTTTCACCAATTGCAGAGCATTCTATTACTTTACTGTTACGTTCGTCCGTAACGGGTACAAGCTAGTTAGTTTTGTCAGGTTGTTGGACCAAAACACATCAATGAAAGAAATCTGCGTTAAGGTAAAGTGAAGAAGCAAAAATATGAAGAAAAACGTGGCGAAGGGATTACAGTGGAAACAAGTGGGAAGTAGTTACAGCTAAAATTTTGCGTGATAAGTAGAGTTAAGAAAACCCTACAGCAGATCAAAGAGGTAGCTCGCTCACCAGCAATAATACAATCCCTTGTTTTACAGCTTCAAATTCCCACTCTGTGACTCTACCGTCATGACGGAACTCGTACGCCGGGGATACGATAATTCCCTGGGGCCTCGACGAGATGAAAGATGATGAGTCGTTTTCTCGAGGAATTCGTGGACCTGCACTGTAATAGCGGGCACCTAACGAAGTATAGTGAATAGCAATTATGCTAAAATATGGTTATTGCCTTAGTGTGCATAAATTTGAAGAGATGGAGAAAAACCTTGAAAAGGAATAAGCGTATTTACCAAGCTGATAGTTTGTTCAATGTATTTTTATCCTGCTGCTGTTGTGTCTTTCTTTGCTTCGAATCAGTATTAATTTACTGTTGTATTAGAAGCGTCGATTGACTTTTGTTATCATCACTCTTCAAAAGTTTCAGAGGTTTTTTTCTCCTGAAAGAAACTTCACATGCGAAGTGGAGAAGACTGACCGAATCGTTTGATGAGAAGGAGGAAAGAAAACCTCTCGGATTCTTCGAGGTTACTTACTCAAGGAAATGAACTCGTATTGCCCGTCTCCGAAGGAGAAAGTGTTATTAACTCTTGTTCCCCGAACGAGAGTTCCATTACACTCCACCCACGATCCTAAGGGAACCGAGCGCGGACAGTGTAACTCTACAGGTCCCAAGGGATCATCCACATCATACATCTGTGAAGACGACAAGGAGTAACGAAATGAGACATATCTTCGCTTACCTGTGAGCCTGGCATTACAATTATATTATTTGACTAATTCACAGTTGATTATGTACTTTCTACAAATTCCGATGATTCGTTTTCGTACCGTTTCGACAACTAGAAATTCAGTTCAACGTAAGGTTTTAAAAGAGGAAAGAAACATAATATGCAAGACTGAAATAAATAAAGCCCCAGTGAAACTAGTCTTTTACTGTTCGAGACATTGGCCACTATAGAAACTTTTATCTATCTCGACTCGCGTTTCTTTAGCCTTGAACATTACATGCAGGTTTGCGTTCTACATTTTTAGCGATATCTGATACATTCATCACAACGTTAGGTGGTAATCTGGAAGTTTAAACTTGTAACATAACCTTTTGACTATATAGACGCAATCACTTAGGAGTAACCATAAAAAACTGCCTCTTTAAATCTGTACTAATTTATTTTCCAGATGAAGGTTGTGACTTATTTCCCCTTAATTTCGATTTGAGAGTGGAAGGATAAGTCCCTGATCATCTCCCTATATATTAGCCATGGTACCTCTGTCACAGTAATGGAGCCTGTGACGAGATTCGTAGCTGTCATAGAAACTATGTACGACCCTGGCTGGTCATAAATGTGATGGACTTGTGGGTTGTCCACAGGCTGCAGTGTCCGGGAGCCATCTCCGAGTGAGAACGTGAAGGTGACATTCATTCCGTTGATCATTTTCCCGGATATTGTCACCGGTTTCAGAACAGGCAGTGGCCCACTCTTCATAAGACTGAGTCCCAATATTCTTTCAGATGCAGAATAAATGCTGTTACGTAGTCGTCCTCCGCATCTGGGAGAAAATAAAAAGAGGATCATGTGTTTTTGAAAAATGATGACTCTACCAAATAAAATGTAAATGTAACTTGTTTACCCACAAAACACTTAAAACCTTTTAAGAAATCGTTTGAAGAGGTTCGTACACTCCACATTGAACTGTCGTTTTAAAAGACAAAGCCGGAAACTGCGAGGTATCTGGTGGGGGGGAAATGCCTTGCAGCGAGGACGAGAACAAACAACAACCTCAACGCACATATTAAGCCGCTCCGGAATTCGAACCTAGGCCACATAGGTGCGAGTCCTCAGCCTTGCCAACTCAGTTCCACATGGAAGGAAACAAGTCTTGTAGCATATTACCGAAAACTTCCAATCATCATCAAACTCGTAACTCCAAAGGAAGCTGCTTAGTTCTACGTACTTTAACAACGGAACAATGCGGCCGAAAAGACTTGTAGGAACCATCCTAATTTCAATCTGCGAACGTATCAACAAAACGAGGGGACATAAACGAATGGAAGAATTCCTCGAAGTCCCTGTATTTTCTTTATGGCGACCACGACAGAATGACCGGCCGCATTAAAGCTCTTGACCCTTTTTCCCTTCTCTTGTTAAAAACCAGTACACTAACACTTAAAACCAAGATGAAGTTTATTTGAGAATCAATGTCTCAGTCGTTTTTGCCGTAAGGATTAGTTTACTGATAATTGTTTTAGTTTCGTATTGACGGTTTTCACTGATCCAGGTCTTCTCAAGAATCCGGCGTCCTTCAGACCATTGATTTTTCCTTTCACAATCACAAAATCGTCAAAGACTGCATGGAAATCTGCGAAATATAAATGACCAACTAAATTTTTCTCACCTAAGTGCTTGATCGTTAATGGGCCAAGAGTCATGGCCTGGACATGTCATATTGCACTCAGAATCATTCACTTGGCCAGCAGTTGGTAGTGTGTTGGCGCACAGACAGACATTGCCCTCTTGTAGAGTAGCATACCGATATTTCCTGCCGCACTGCCTCAGACAGTGCAGAGGGCTAATATCCTCCATATCATAATCCCCTGGACTTGATACGAACACACGATTCTCCGCGGATATCTTATAACACCCAAGGTGCTCTGAAAAAATAATAGGAGTATCCAAAGTGAAAAGCTGTGGAGACAATCAGGGCAGCATGCGCAGGTGATAAAGGAGGAGATAAAAGAATGAACAAGGCGATGGACTGGCCACACTGTAAGGAGACCAGACAGACATGTGGCTAAGACAGCTTTTGAGACCCCACAGGGGAATCGTCAGAGAGGGAGACCCCTGCACACTTAAAGGCGCACAAGGATGTTAGAACTTGAAGAAAAAGGACTTACATGGCCAGAGGCAAAAGTGTCTGCTCAAAATAGAGTAAGATGGCGAGCATAAGTGGAGGACCTATGTTCCATCGGGAACGAAGAAGTCCGATAATGATTAAGAGGAATATCCTCTTCTTGTAGGTATTACATGAGGAGGTGGGCTCGATTCTCAGTTTTTAGGGACCCCCCTTGAAATCCCCTTATTTAAATACATATTCTCCACACTGTTCTCTATAAAAGTGTTTTGATGCCAGTGAAGAGAGTTTGGTGATCATTGCCTCTATTATCATGACGTTAAATGTTGATAAGGAAGTGATCAGGGATTATTTAGTATAGCTGTATCTGTTGGTCACGTGTGGTATTCAAGAGTTGATAGCAGATTTACGAAATGTATTTATTCTTAAAATTAAAAGAGCACAGCATCATCGATGGGGTGGGGCACTTTGGCTCGCACAAACGTGATTTTTTAATAAATTTTAAATGGAACTGAAAACTTGACAAGTTTTCAAGATCGAAAGTATGTTCAGGCCTACTTTGCACAAAAACTCTGAAGGATCGTTGAAAAGTGGATATTAAAAACTGTTCGGGAGTTTTTTTGTTTTAAACTGGTTCTTTTCTCATAAAGAATCAAAAGAGCGTGTATATTATCACCTATTATAAATGTTATGTTAGGGTCTAAAATAGAGGTGCATGTTGTCACAGTTGTTGAACACAGTAGTTTTTTTTTTTAGGTATTTTTAGGTTTCCCTTTTTCCCTAAACAGGGTCATGGATTCAAAACCGTCAGCGGAACCACAATGCCCAAACGTGGGTCATTTGCCCCCTCGAGATCATCCACAGCACGTATAAAGTTGATAAATCAAAGAAAATCCATTTTAAAATAAGCCTGGACAATGTTGTTAAAAAGCACAATGTAAAACCGCCTAAAATTCAGAATATGATTCGGTGTATTTTGTTTTAAAGGGGAACTCCATTTCACGCAACTTCATTAACAGAACGGTCTTGGTTTTTTAACAATTATCTCAGTTTGTACTCATAGGTATCTTTCAAATAACTACTTCATAATTGAACAAACCGCAAGAAGTACAATAAGATCCAGTCTGTCCCAAATTAGGCTATCGACTATTCTGGTATTAATTATTCAATATTTTTTCGGTTAGCAACCGAAGAATCTTAAATTTTTCACTTTCGAGTACCACTAGATCGGGAATATTTCTTGGCCAAAGCAAACGTTTTGGTGTCAGGACATCTCCTTGCTCTAACTAACATTTTGCATCCGTTTGTTTCGAAACTGCGTCAAAAGACAAGCGTACTTCTACTTTGAAAAATTTGCGCGACACAGAATTAATTTTTCCAAAGAGGTCTCTTTGACGGATTACCTTTGGGTTGTTTCTGTTTGCACTAAGTTTATGTCTAGTACTTAAAAGTGTTCAAAACTGCAAGTAAAAGTTGTGCAATTATATCATTATTTAATGTCATTACTTTACCGACAAAATTTACTAGTCTTATTAATTTCTACTTAGTAATGTTGTTTTTTTTTTTTTAAGTAAAGATGAACCGCCAAATTAGTTTCCAAATTTATTTTACAAGATAAAAGTGAACGTTGCTTTTTGCTATTCAAACTCTAGATTTCAAAATCAGCGTTGAACTTGAGGAGGTGGATTTTATCATATGTTTGGTTTTCCTGCGAAAAATGTAAAATATGATAGTTCAGTTTAAAAACAAATGGATAAATAGATTACCTTCTGGGCGAACTTGTTTTCTTGAAGATGAAACAGGAATCTAAGAAGGAAAAAGACTCAAGCTTCAAGCTATGAAAGCATTTCTCTTGTGCTGTCGACATAATAGCAGGGGCAATAAATACTGATTGGGGAAACTGGACAAGTGAATAGCAACGACATAAGTTTAAAACTCACACTTTTCTATGCAAACAAAATCAAGAAAGCACAATTACAAGTGACTACGAATTACGCCTTAAAATCACAGTTTTGCCCGTCAAAAAAGAAACCAAATGTTGTCAGCAAACTAGAAAGGCATTTTTAAATACAGCAAATTTTAACTTACAGCGAAATTCGCCAATATAAAACTTCCGAAAAAGATAAAAATCATGATTTTTTCAGCAGCAGCAATGCAATTTGGTGCCTTGTCGTAGATTCGTGCAAGAAGTGGAAGAGCAAATTCTTGCGAACTACTCGACCTTCTTTAACTTCGAGGTGTAATGGGAATATAGATGAAGAATCGCAGAATCAGCAGATCGGCCTGTTTTCATAGGGGAAAATCTAGAAACAGTTATACATATTTAATGACTATTAACAAATAACTAGCAAATAGGATTTTACCATTCCTCTAATTACTTTCGCTAAATCTCCAAATAAAAGAAATTCGAAATAAATGTTCTTGGATTTCCAGCAAAGCAAAGAAGTTTGAAGAGTCACTTGCTGAACATTTCAGAGCCATTCCTTCAAATCGATTTTTAGGAAGAATTGCAAAAATACTTTTTCCGTGTCATTATAATATTTAATGATCAGAAATCATTAATAATTTAAGTCAAAAAACCTTTTTTCACATTACTATTACAAAAAACATCAATGCTGCTTTGTGCAATATCTTTTAGCGATCGACAACACCACCGTCATGTTTAAAAAACATTCAATTCAAAGCAACACCAAAAAGATACTTCTCGATTTTTTCCCGCTTAATTAATAACTAAAGTGATAAAACTCAACTGAAACTGAATTTTTACCATGGATATAAAATATTTCCAAAGAGTACTTTTCACGTACTGCGACAAAAAGATAAGCCAATGAAAAATCAATTTTAAACAGTTTAGTTCAAATTTCTTTAAGTAAAGAGTTTGGTCTTAACTGATCCACAATAATTACTTGCGGATATTCCAGAACTATTTATTTTTCTGATACTAAAATAACCGCAACAAAAGGGGATTTACATAGAGCCACAGTTGAATTACGTCAAGTTAGAGAAACAAAAGAAAACAGCTGGCACTTAGACTTCCGGAGATGAGGGACGGGGATTGGGGGGGTACTGTGAGGATGGGGGAGGATTCCTGTCGGGGAAGTGGGACCGGGGGGGCAACACAGAACTGAGGGTCTAAATGGGCATGGGTCGTTGCTGAGAAAAGTCCAACATTCTAACTGATTACTGTGAATTGTAGCCTAAGTGTGGTCGTACCTCTCTTAAGGATGATGGGAAATTAATTTCCCACGGGGGAAGTAAGGTTATGTCCGGTTTAGACCTATTATCCCTATTTATCCCTACAGACCGGCCACAGTCTGATTCAGTCATTCGCTGAGCCATCTAAGCACAATTTGGGACTCATTTCAACTCGTGTGTTCCAATCAGCCCTAGAAAAATAAGTAAATATATTGGTCCTCATTAAGATAGCTATATTTGAGCCTAGTGTTGTGCTGTATTTTACTCAACAAAAGACCCCCAAATTCGGCGCCAAATCAAATGTCTAAAATTTACAGTTTAATGCAGGTAGGCTATGAATTAACTTACTTCTGAGAACTTCTCCTGGCACTGGCTGTTACTGAATAATCTGTTAAATACATATATTTTTTTAATATTCTACCCTAGACTTCGTTTGAATTCTAATCCTGTTTCAAAGAGGCAGGCAAAGCAATGTATACCAAGCACTTAGCAAAGTATTCCCATTCTTAAACAAGATGAGTTCAAGAATCTAAACACTGTAGAGTGTATGTACGTGTAGCTTATATGTATAACCTTAATCTCGCATTAGGATGTCGCTTTTTCTAAAAATCACTCGCTGATTTGGGATCACAAGGCATGATCATCAAAATCACAACAGCAGCAAGCATGATAAAAATCCGCAGTTTAATGAAGCGGATGACAGAAACATCAAATGAAGAGACACTGGATAATTACCACACCAAAACATAATAGCTAACCAATAACACCAAGAAACAATTTTTAAAAAAGTTCTTTTATATTTGACATCCCTGTGGAAGGGGTTTCACAAACGCCCTTTCACTTTTTCCTTCTGAGGTCATCTCAGATAACGCCCCGAAACAACGTTATGACTTACATTCGTTTAGGAAATTCCTTAGCAAACACGTCGTTTCAAAATTCATCGTTCTTATTCCATGGCATTCAATTGCTCAAATGTTCGTGTATTTGTTTGGAATTGAATTCTAAAGGACTGTATCTGAGTTTAAAAACGAATTAGAAAATCCTTGTCTTGTGTTCACGCAGTTTCACGTCATGGTCGTGCAAGGACGGCAAAGAAAAGTGCAAAAAAGAGTGAAGCTCGTGCAAAGTTGGTTTCATTATCAAAAGCTATGTTCACACTACACCGGACAGATTTTCGTGCTGACACGAAATGCTATCCAGTATAGTGTGAACTCCTATCCGATACGTGACTATCCGGTATGGTTTTCGTGTTGACACGAAATGCTATCCCGTATAGTGTGAACACCTATCCGATACGTGACTATCCGGTATGGTTTTCGTGCTGACACGAAATGCTATCCAGTATAGTGTGAACACCTATTCGATACGTGACTATCCGGTAAGGTTTTCGTGCTGACACGAAATGCTATTCGGTATAGTGTGAACACCTATCCGATATGTGACTATCCGGTATGGTTTTCGTGCTGACACGAAATGCTATCCGTTATAGTGTGAACACCTATCCGATACGTGACTATCCGGTATGGTTTTCGTGCTGACACGAAATGCTATCCGTTATAGTGTGAACACCTATCCGATACGTGACTATCCGGTATGGTTTTCGTGCTGACACAAAATGCTTTCCGGTATAGTGTGAACACCTATCCGATACGTGACTATCCGGTATGGTTTTCGTGCTGACACAAAATGCTTTCCGGTATAGTGTGAACACCTATCCGATATGTGACTATCCGGTATGGTTTTCGTGCTGACACAAAATGCTTTCCGGTATAGTGTGAACACCTATCCGATATGTGACTATCCGGTATGGTTTTCGTACTGGCGCAAAAGCTATGCGGCATAGTGCGAACAGAGCCCAAACCCATTGCTTTTTTGCCGTTCTCGTTGACGTCGTCGTTGCTAAGCTCTCTATTAAAGTCGACTGAGCGCTCTGGAAAAGGGCTATTGTTAGAAACGCACCATAGTTTTGTATAATTATGGCGATAACTTGGTTAGAAACCAGTTAAGCAAGGCTGGCATCGGTGACAGTAGTCTTGTATTTCCGAGTGTGTAGTAGTGGAGGTATGTCTTACTGAACAGAAGCATGATTGTCTGCTCTTTGGACGTGTTGACCTGCATTCATCTTAGCCCAGACAAGCCGGTCTGTAGCAAAACTCATACAAATTCCTTGTTTTCCGAGTTGCTTTTATGAGCTCCATGTAATTGCTTAGATTCGTTGGAGTTAAATTGTTCCCTTCTTTCAATCCAGGTTGGTTACTGCTCAGTAGTTTTTACTATTTTATATGGTCTTGTGTCCACGATACGTCCTTTTCTAAAGCAGCTTTCCAGCCATTTTACGCTGACAATCTTCACTCCAGTGTTCAACTCTGATTGAGAAGGAAACTGCAACAATTACAAACAGAAAAATAGTCAGCTCAAATAACTGATCAGAAACCTTAATTACCAGAATGTTATATTAGTCCTTAAGCAAAAATCTAAGCTAAGAATAAAACTGTTACGTTTTCCATACCATAGATAAGCTTGTTACCAGCCTGGGGTCCTATTTTAAATACTGAGCACAGGATAGACAAGTATAGTGAACTGCCTTCCGTTTTAAACAAAATTTTAGACTGCGTGCAATCCCTTTAGTCAAGGAAATTGGAGAGAGGCAGGAGCCTCTTTCTCTCCACCCCTCTTTCTTAACTGATGAAGATACACAGTAAATAGTCATTGAATTGAAAAAGAAAAGTCATTTAAAACTTACGTTATCTTCTTCGTACTCAGTACAAACCACATGTGTTACATCATCATTGGCAAACTGCGACACATCTCCGTTGTAGTTACACAATTGTTAAAGAAACTTTTACCCTGCCCGCTGAAACTCAAATACCGGAACGATCGACTCTTTAATCAATGTAGTCTAAAAGTGGTAGCGTAATTGTGTGTACGCACATAGTCACAAAAGCTGGTTCGAGCTGTCACATACGGGACTCCTAGTAACTTATTCAGTCTCTAGGCAGTATTCAATCCTGGACATCTGACGTATATTTGCACCCAGTGGGTGCAATGTTCTCACAGAAAGGGAAGGCACTCAATTCAGAAATCATGGGCCAGCTGCTAACAGCAGCCAAAAGTTAACATCTGACGGTTAGCCAGTCAAACTGGGCAGTGTCACGGCTGTCCAGTTCATTTTGTTGATAATGCGTCCATATTCACGATGGAACCTTAGAAATTAGTTGTGAATGACAAAATCACAGCCCAGTGTCAAACAAATTTGTCTCCGAGTCCCGAGCATTACATCAAACGTTACAAAGAAAAAAAGAACATTGAAAAACTGTTAGGCTAACAAGTATTAAAAAACCACAACTGCAATCTGTTTCAATCTCCTTCAAGTTTTTCCATCCGTAACTCCTTTTGTATTTTCAGTGTTATTTACACCTTCATTTAACATTTTGAGAGGTTATTTTTAGGTTTCACTTAATTTTGCTAATTAAATCTAGTACAGCTAACTGGAGTAGAATAACATGTTCTTTACTAGCCACTAGCTAGCTGGTTTTTCAAGCCAGTAGGGAATCCGGGGGATACTCAACAAAGTTTTATAAGGGGAGGCTGCGCCGCGCGGTCCAACCCCTCACCCTTTTATATACCATTTTTGTCAGAAAATTCAGTTTACCCCTTTCGTAAACCTTTCATTGACAATAGTACCCCTTTCACATATCTAGTTTAGAACTTTGCATCCCTTTTAACTGCTGTGAATGCACTTTCTTTTAAATAACATGAAGAAAACACAAAACTAGACCGATTTTCTCGACTTCGTCCACAGCCTTAAAATCCTTCTGCGGCCCTTCTAGGTCATAATATTCCCCACTCTTTCATGTACTTCAACTAGTGAAATCCCTTCCATTTCATATACCTGACGCCTGATAAAGGAACCCACCCCCACCCCACTAGGGTAGGTATTCAGGCTGCCTGTTTTTATTCAGCGACAGATTAAACGATACAGCTTGAGAAAGGCAACTTTACAGTTCCAAAAAAACATAATGTCCCGCGGTCGATTAAAAAAGGATATGCAATTAAATAGCGTGTCAACTTCTTCCTTTGATCTTCTTCGACCTCGTGAAAGAGAGCATTAACGCCGAACATGAAATCAGGAAGTGTAGGTCGGGTACTTGTCAGGTCATCGCCACTTCGATTGTCTTCGTTTGGCTTTTTATTCTTTTCACTGGACTTTCCACTTTTCACGCTAGCAGATTTTGTTTCCCCGTTGTTTGATGAAGGTGCTGGTGACGGACACTGCGTGGAGGAGGAGGATTGCCCCCTGGCAAAGTAGTATCTGAAATCCGGTTAAGAATTAAAGCTCTCGGTGGTGATCTGAAAAAATGTCTTCAGGTAATTCCCTTGTTTTGCAATGTGCATCACCTACTGCGTATAACATTGCGACATGAAAGACGGCGGTGATGTTCACCAATCGCCTGAAGAGAGGTAACAAAGGCCCTTTTTGTAGTCCAAATAGTTTTAATAACGATTGTGATAACACTTCCTGCCTAAAACTGTGTTGGTCTTGGGATTCGCCCTAGTCTCTTTGCGCAAAATGATCATTTGAAGTCGAAATTGTCCCTTTGTTGTCTTTTTGCGATGAAACGAGAGCGATGACCCCCATTTTTATAGCTGCTTTTTACTCGTTATTGCTACAAGAACAATATATTTAAAGGGCAAAAAAATCTGGATAAGGGAATAACCGTTACGTACTAACTTGTTGGTAAAACGTTAAAATTAGGTTACTGGTCCTTGGTTCTTTTAACTTTTTTTCGAAATTAAAATGTCCCTTCAACTGTCAGTCAGGAAACGAAGTAGTTATAACTCAACACAGCTCTCAAGGAAAGAAAAGAAACGTTAATGTGAGGCCCCGTTCACATGTATCCGGATATTTTTAAAAATGGTGATTTTTTTTCCGCGTTTCAGCCTTCCGTTTTCGGGCACCAAAAACGCGAGCTTTCGAAAACGGTTCCCGGAAAGGAGTTTGTTTGAAAACACCAGCTTATCGTTTTCCTGTGCGCGGACGAAAATGAAGGTTTTTGAATACGATGATGTCGTACATCATACAGCGCAAGCCATGTAAGGGACGCTATTGTATTTTCATCGTTTTAGCGTTTTCGTGTAGACCAGCAAAAACGCCGTAGAGTGTAGGATGAGATAAGGATACATAGATGTTTCAATTCCCTTGGAGGCCAGATACTTTCGCACCAGTCTCTCTGTGCCGTACCAGTTAAAGCTTGGGGTGTTGTAACCAATCCGCGGAAGATGAACCGTGGCTGAAGAGAAATATCCCTGTGTTAATTCTGACATGTAAGCGTAAAAAGCAACGCTATTAATACATGACATTTGGCGTTTGCTTTTTAAGCTTAAATGTTTTACTAAATCTTTCGTTATCTTAACTCTTATAGCCGAATGAAAAATGGTGAACAAATGCACGTACTTGTGTCGCTCATCAAGTTAATTTTGACCAGTTAGTAATAGACCTTTTCATCTATTTAAAACCACGTGATGCTACCCTACTGCCAGACAATTTTTTTCTCAAAAGTCGTCCTATCCACGTGTATAATGCCAGATAATTTATAGAAAAGAAAAAAGACATCCTCGATTGAGAACATCACATGGTCTGAATTGGGAAAACAAAACATACAAGCCGAAAGGGTTCTATATACAAGGTAAAGATATAATTAACTATTTTCAAATCCCCACAATAAATATGTTTTCAAATGCACCTGGGAATATGTAGTCCCTCAAGAAGCACTTGAAAGCAATAGCTTACGCAAAAATTGAGAGGCAAACTGAGTGTACTATAGGGGATTGGAAAATATACAATTCTTATGACTCATTTTAAGCTACATCAGAAGAATAATAAGAAAAAAAAAATATGGAAATACAGCTTAGGTTGCAAACGTGTGTAGGCCATTCCCGAGTTCCAAAAATTCTCACTTTCAAAACGAGGCTAAGTGCAAAACCTTTCTTGCGAAAATGAGTTTCATTTGCACGAGAATAAAAAAGGATTATCATATCAATAGCTTCGCACTTAGCCTCGCTTTGAAATTGAGGCTTGAGGTAACTCGGAAAGGGCCTATTTATTACCTTTCATTTTCTTTGCGGCAACAGCAACTCTCTGCAGTCCCTGACTCAGTGACGTCAGCAGGATCCCAGAGAGTCTGTTCTTCCGGTCACGTGACTGAGCTACGATCAAAGCCACCTGAGAAAAGAAGAGTAATTTGTATAGGTAATACCATGATTTTTAGTGATATTTGGCATAAATACCACGAGTGTTATTTGGAAATTCTTCTACGTAATTTCACGAGCCGTTAGGTGAGTGACATTTGAGACCATTTTGAAATATCACGAGTGGTATTTATGCCAAATATCACGTTCAAATCATGCTATTATTTGTTTATACTACTACCCACAAAGGGTTTGTAACTTTCCCATGTAGGTATTTCAAATTAAGCTGAAATACCACTGCTCTAAGCCAATCAAATTGCAGAAATTTCTCACGTAGTAGTATAAAAGAAATAAATTGGTTCCTATTTAATACCTGGCAAAACAACAAACTGTCCAGTTACATCATTAACCGGCGACGAAATTGTTGAGAATGTGGTCAAATAGGGTATATATTGGAGAGCAAAACAATCTGGACCCTTTCAATCAATCAATCAATCAATCAATCAATACCTTTATTTAAGTGTCAAACTAACATAGCAGTAGAGGAACCACTAAATGGGGACACTATAAATTAAACTAAGCAACTATTGTAGCTCCCTTTCCTTCAACGTTGGACTGTTTGTTGTGCGAAACAACATTTTTTAGAGAGGGTAAAGAGGCATAGCTTAATTTTCTCATTCTGAAGTGGATAGTGTCGTGAAAACGTGAGAGGTGTCCGTCAAAGAAAACCACTGTCGCAAATTGATGGTCATATGAGACGGTGGCTATCAATCACAATAACATGAGACTGACACCTTTTGAAAAGCAATCACATTACAAGCATGGTAGTCCCATAAAATCCTCCTCAAAGGACCTAGAGCGGATAAAATTAGCTTCCTTTTAGTTGGTACATTAAGATCATGGGTTTAAATTTGCACCTTGTTGACGGCTCGGTTGTGGTCTTTGCAGCTGAATATGACTACGAAGATTTTAACTTTTGAAATATTTCATCTGCAGTTGTTAGACATGGCAATCACTTATACTCTGTTTCACTCTTATCCTAAAGTTTCGATAAGAAGCAAATAGCTGAGAGGTAAAACGTACATAGTCTTGACCATCTTTTCTACTTTCTCGATCATCGACTGGAACAAGATGTGCATCTCCGAGCTTAAGATCTGAAAAAAAAAGGACGAAAAAGAAACTGTCATCGCTTTGAGTCCTCTCAGGGCTGTAGCAGCAAAGGGCAAGCGACGAAAAGAATAGCGGGGCATGAGCTCCGAGAATTTGATTGTTAGCACCTCTGTTACCATGTGTTTTATGCTAGTTGCTGCTTAAACTGTGCTTGAAACATAACAAAACCTACCTTTCATTCTACTGGCCAGCTCGTACTGAGTTTCTGGCTGTAAAGAGCGTCGAGAAAGAGCGGTGAATATACCGCCCTGTCCCCACCTCCCTGAGTCGTCTGAAAGGGACAAGTTTCTAAGTTAGAAGCTGAAAAGCTTTTCTGTATTGCCAATTAAGAATGTGACGTCACATACCTACACAATGTACAATGATCGCATCACGGCCGCGAGTGTTGATGGGATGTGTGACGTCGCCCCGTACATACTGAATGTCTTTTTGGTCATTTTCCACTTCTTCCTCGAACAAATCCTTACGGTCATTACCTTCCTCTTCCTCTTCTTCATCCAGAGCAGCGTTAAGGCTAATGTAATTATTGTCCTTCCAAAGTTTCTCCCTTCGAATAAATAGATAAACAAGTGACTAGAATTAAAAAAAAATAGTGAGATTTCGTCTTTTATCCTGTCTAAAACCTGTCGTTCAATAGAAAGGAGAAGTCGTTGTGTCACGTTGCCATGGTAGCAAATTTCTAGATCTCAACAAACCGTGGTTCGGCAAATATGACAGAAAAAAGCGAAGAAAATTGTCATATATGACTTTCCTGTGCAAGATTGCACTCCAGAAATAAACGGAAGCCCATTCTTTTCTTCCATCGTTTGACAATGCAAATGGCCGTCTCTGTCAAGAAAGATTGTTGAGATTTAGAAATTATGCTACCATGGTAACGTGACGTCACACTTCTTTCCATCTATATAAAAAAGGCCGTCAAGGCTTATAGGTTTGAACTTTTCTAAACTTCAACAAAATGAACTCTAAAAGCTCACAATCTCCTCTGTCTTTCTCTTTCTTTTCTCAGCTCTTCCTCTTCTTTCAGCTTCGCTCTCTTCACTGCATTTTCTTCCCTCTGAACGAGGAAAGAATTCGTGTTAAAATTCTAGAAACCAAAAGACATACCTAGCGAAATCGAAGGACAAGTAATACCGAAGACGATAGTTTGATTAATACCAGTTACCTTTCTTCTTCGCTCCTCCAGTTCTTCTTGGGTTAATACTTTTCGCTTTCTAGCAGTAAGATCGACGAACTGAGCTGCCGAGGCCTGAAGAGGACAAATAAAGTTAAAGGTCGCTAAGCAAAGAAGAGTTTTTGATGTATAACTGTCGAACCGATCAATAATTCATAAAAAAGAGAAAGAGAAAAAATTTCTACTTCGAAGGACGCCTGTATATCGGTTCCTAATTATCACAACAGTTGTGACATTTTGCTGTAAGTTATTAATAATTTGCTATACACTATTTTCACCCGATATCCAGGCATTTAAAGGGGAGCGAAAAATATAGGCTTCAGTTAATCTCTCCGAACCAGGTATAAGAGTCTGCATACAGGATGAAACACTCCACCTTTGTGTTTGAAATATTACTTACTCCACCGCTAGTTGCGGGATTGCAAAGGTACCGTTTAAACAAAGTGAAAGACGAAACAAGGTCGTGACTTATGTGTTAAAGAACATAAGGCAAGCACTGTGCATTGCCGCACACTCACCTTTCTTTCGCTGCGGAGTAGCCTTTCTTCTGATTGAACTTCACTTAGCATTTCTGCGCGATCGGAAAATGACATAGATTTACAAAGTGAAAACTGGTATAGTGAGTGAGAGTTAAGTCAAATTAATTCAACCTTTCCATCATGTACATGTATTTTACTAGCTGCTTGTCAGTAAAATAGAGCGGTAACAGAAAAGGCCGAACCGTAACACGTTCACTTTTCAATTTCAGTTTATTTCTCGGGAGCCAAGTGGCGCCAGATAACACCATTCACTGGATAGATCTCTAGCCACTAAATACTGGTTCAAACGATGGAAAACAGTAAACACTTCTATACCTTTAGAACAACCGGGATCCGATCAGAAAATGGCTTATCATGCAATAAGCGTTAGTATGCGTACCCTTTAAGTAGAATTTTTTAGGGATAGCTGAGCGAACGAAATACTCGAGCGCGCATGAAAATAGACCTTATTCACGATACTCGCCATCTTTACACGCACTTTGGGATTAATGGGATAAAAGCAATGCCACGTAGTATTTCAGGGGCAAACAAGCGATAAGATTTACCAATACGACTGAGCAATCCCGGCCGAGTTTGTTTATTCTCTCAAAATTAGACAACTATTTTAGTCATGCAAAATTTGGAGTTCGAGTTTCGACAAGATTTAGGTCTTAATTGCTTGCTGTGAGGACATCTACGGTCGCTACTGCATCCAAAATTCCTTCCACAAAAAATTTCCCTCTACCTTCTTTTAAATTAAACGTTCTATAAACAAATTTGACTGCGATTTCTCGTACTGACATATTTTTTCAGTTGTTTGTCCGCTGAGAAACCACGTGTCCTTCAGCGCATACAAAGATCGCGGGTATCGTGAATAAAGTCAAATGCCACGCTGAGATAAAGCATGTCACCTTCCTACAGGGTGGCGATTTTCACGCGCGCTCGCGTACTTCACTCGCTCTACAATCCCTTGTGGAAAATGAGCGAATGCTTGTAGTCTAGGGTACCCGATATACGCTTACAACACCGTCATCTAAAGCAGCGGACAATTGCTAGTCTACTCATTCAACGGAGACAAACTTGTGTGGAAACTCCTGAAATCACGTATGCGCCTCACGCTTGACCGCTGTATAGTAGTTATCGTTGTCACTCACCTGCCATGATGTTATCAAAAGCCTGTTGATCTTTGGTGCTTGCGTCTCTTGAGTAGTCATGACCCTCATACACGTACATACTGCTCACTGAATCAACAAAACAAGACAGTAATGAAAACATTCTTGCTACCCGTTATTGTCACAGCCTGATAGGTTCAAGAGTTGAGTTGAATGTACATTCAAGCTTTCGATACCCTCTAACTGTCTCTGTCGAAGAATTATATCTGAATTCATTCCACTTGACCAACACAGGGCAGTCACTGAGATTTCGAGTTGTTGGGTTTATGCAATTAGTAGGTGGGGATTTGAACAGCTACGAAGTTCTTATGGATCTTTTTTCTTTTTGTATTTGATGGAAGTAGCCGGTAGGTCTGCTAAACAGCCGTTTTTAGTGTCGTCACGCTAAAAACGGCTGTGTGGCAGACTAAGTAGCCAAGGGGTCTTACTCGGGAATCTCCAGCCCCGGCCCTTACTGTCTTCCCTGCAAACATAGCAATAGGTTTCGAAAGTTCGTGTTATAAAGGTACTCTTGAGAGGAAACTAACCTCACGAAAAACACAACAGCTCCTCACTTCTATCCTCCATGCATATTTTGTGGTACAATTTTATCTTCGATTTCTCTGATCATTTCCTTTGTTTAACTCATTATCTTACACAAGTCAAGCCCAAAACAAAGACAACGTACGGCCCAATAACCATACACATCACAGGCGATGATAAACTGAAGGAGCACAAGCTAATTAGGCTGCACACTGCTTTAACTTTTCAATATATGAAATTTGTTCACCATTTTCGTCTTCATCTGTCTCCATACACGAAGCGATGTCGTCATTATCATCATTGGCTTCTTCCAGAATCCATTCATTATTACAACTTCCTCCTAAGATCCTTACAGATGTTAAAAGAATACAAAGTTGTCGTTCAGACAATGAGCAAGAACTAAACAAAAAGCTTAAGGCCCATTCACACAACATCATATTTTAAAACTGAATATGAATTCAGCAACAAAGAATTGAAGGACTGACTATTATGTAAGATTCACGTGTGGGCTTTAAGTTGTGCTTTTTAGCATTTGCGTTGAATTTGTAGTCGACAGAAATAAGCATAGAGCCCTTACACGCATCAGTATTTACGAAGACAGACAATTTCCTCCACCCCCGGCCCCCATAAAAGATAAAACGAAACAACCACTAGACTAATTATACAATGAAATGGAAACGCACTTTTCTAAGTCTTTCTCTGTAACAGTGCTGTCGATAAAGAAAGACGATTCAATGTTAGTACATTGAAAAATATAATTTACATTAGAGATTTCTAAATTGTGATGATATTTATTAAGAGTATGAATGAAATATAATGGCAAATGAATTATTTTGTTTGCTCACCTGTTCTCGGACTCAAATAACTTGTCCAAGCCAAATTTAAGCAAGTCTGCTAGCTAGTGATTTCATATAAAAAAGAAAATCAGCGTTTTCATCCTTCATTTGTGTCATGATCCTTGAATCACTTCAGACGTCATGACTATTAAGTTATCGATCACTTTAGTTGATACATAACGAGCAAAGGTGAAGAGACCTTCCTTTCTTTTGCAAACATGGGGATAATTTCGTGAAAAGGGCCACAGATAGAAATACATTTAAAATAAACCAAGTTCTTTTGAAACGAAGGGCGTTAATTTAAGGTTCGCTGTAGAAAAACCTTGGTTCCCATCAAATCTACTTGTCAAAAAAAAACCAGGAAAGAAAAGAACTTAAAACAGGAAAACAGGAAAGAAGTTAGCGGGCCAATAAAACGGTACTGAAGGGAATTAAAGCGGCTTACACATCCACGTGATCTTTACCTGCATTGGAGTCTCAGCAATTTGATTGACAGCTGATACACTTCCTGAAAACTGCAAGAAATCGTCCAACAAAGTATTAGCTAGCAAGAACTCCTAACGCCATAGGTGCTAGGCCTGTATATCGGTGGGCATATTCATGACGGTGGCATATTGTTGTAATATTTCAAGGGAAAACAAACTACTACTATTAATTCTTCAAGTTGGTTAAAAAATATAAGTTTGCTTGAATAGCCGAAAGAACCTATGAGTATGTGGTACCCTGTTTATCAGTAAGGTTTTAAGAGAACTTCATTAAAGTAAAACGTCATACCAGCTCGTTTGGGTTCGCCAATGGAACAGTTACTGGGGCTGGGAAAACCTGCGCGATAAAATACTTGGAATCCGGAAATAAAATGCATAATTCTAGAGACACCTCATTGAGTTCCTGTTCACAAAATAATTATCAAGTTTTATACTTAAACCATACTTGAATTACTTTATCAGATGGTAGGAATAATTTTGACGGATGGGTACAATTTCAATTTTTAAAAGTACCTTGATGTTGTTGATTCAATTATTAGGGCCATTTATACGAGGAAAAATAAGACGCGTCTTACATAACTGTACCATTTATACGAGCATGTCTCATCTAATAAGACGCGTCTTAGCTAACCCGCGTCTTATTTTAGACGAAATGTGCCGTTTATACGAAAAGTTCGCGTCTTATTTAAGACGCGTCTTATTTTTCCTCGTATAAATGGCCCCATTGTATGTAAGCTTAGTTTATTCTACCACTCTAGGCTAATATTATTCAAATAGTGTTTTCAATTTTATTATAACTGAAGAAGTTACTAAACAAGACTACGCATTTGTTTCCAAACCAGCCAATTAAAAACGAAAACAAACAAAAAACATCCATGTAAGGATAACCTTACTGTTAAGGGAAAACGCCAACGAACCGCGTCCGTTCTATTCTATTATTTTTTTTGTGCGGGTATGAATCAAAATAGTTAATCCCGTAGTATCCTAACCTTTCCACCTTCTATCACTGTATTTGTCAGTTTTAACTTTGCATCTGCTCTCTTCAGCACAATTTCCTCCACTGTACTTCTACCAACGAGGCGAATGATTTTCACTGGTCTGATAAACAAGATAAATAGAACATTATCGTTGTATGTGAAGCTAAAGTGACCCGTAATTTCAAAGCTTCATATCAACCATATCATAAGAAAAAAATTAAAATTGTATTTATTCCTTCAGCGTTTTTACCAGCTAAATGTATCGGTCATTTAAGAGCACAGTCTGCCACACAGAAATTGCTGGTAAGCCTATGGCTACCACCGCTTCACCGAAGCTTACAGGAAGTTCAAATGTAACGTTGTTTTCCCAGGTTTTTCTACTTTATATCCCCTTGAGTGCCATCTATCTCGGTCAACACTTATTTCCATCTGCCAAACTGGCGTTGACAGATTAATGATTCGTACACAAGGTAAGGGTTAGGGTTAGAGTTGGGGTAGGGTTGTTGCTATATATATTCAAATCGAACCATTAATTGTCAGCAAATCCTCGGTGCTGTAGGGGTGAAAGCTCTGCACTGCAGAGCCCATGCTCCGAGATCGAATCCTACTCGTGCCATCCTGAATATTGTTTTTCCTTAAAAATTAAAGAGACTTAGACTTTTATGAACAGAAATTTCAAGAATGAACAGAGAAATTTCATGTAAGAAAAGTGAAATGTCTTGTGACAGCCACTGAGATGAAAATGTCAATTTGGCGGATGGAAACAAGTGACGACCATCTATTTCACTACCTTGTTTGACCAATACGATGAGCCCGAGCTGCCGCCTGCAGGTCATTCTGCGGGTTGAAGTCGCTATCTACAAATATGACGGTGTCTGCAGACATCAGGTTTAAACCCTGACCACCTACAGAAAGGAAAAAGGAAGAGCTGCGCTCAGGACTTCGTTCGCAGTTAAATAAATCTAAGGGACTGTAAGTATATGTACCAGTCTCCTTTATTAAGTAAACTGTCTGAAAGCAATGGTGCCTTAACACAACTCCATTACGATGTTTGTCAGTCTCAGGGTTACCAAAGCAGTACGTCGCGGGAACTATTTATACACGCTGTTTGATGGACAAGGGGAAGCATAATTTCTCGTCGCAAGAAATCACACGATTCAGCGCCAGGCCAAGAATCGGTCCACGTGACCTAATGAGGGTGAGTTAACCATTTCGCAACCACGCCTCTGTGGTCTAGACTACAGCGATTTGCAGTCTAGAATGCGAATATGCCAATCACCAGTTTTAGGGGAAATTAACTGCACGATTCACGAGGTTCCGTTGATACATGATGGCCATAAGAGCGCACTTTATGCTCAAGAACATACCTGCACGCGTACTCAAGAGAAATATAAAGGTTTCTTCTGTTTCATTGAAGTTCTGAATAGCTAGAAATCGCTCCTCTCCTCTGATTGAGCCATCTAATCGCTCATAAGAATATCCTGTAACAGGAAAAAACATAAGGGGCCAAAATGAAGTTCTACACTCCATGTGTGAAGCTCTTTTTAAGCAAACGGGAAAAAGGTCAAAGCCTGCTGTAGAAAACTAGTAGACTACGCGTAGTCTCGCATCGGTTCTCGAAGATAGCACACGTGAGCCAGCCTCTGTGATAGTACCACAGTACGATACTTGTAAAATTATAGTGTTTGTATGGGGTAAAATCGAATCGTACTGTAGTGCTATCACAGAGCCTTGGAAGATAGTAAGGGCGAGCGCGCAGCGTAGCGTCCTGGTTAGCATACTTAGAAGGTCGGGAAGTATGATACACGCATAAACAGGTTATTATTGTTGGAAATACGCACTTTAATTACCTCTGTAACCAAGATAATCCTGAATGATATCTAACATTCTCGTCATTTGAGAGAACATCAAAACTTTGTGTCCCCTGATGATGTAAAAAAAAGGAATGCATAGTTTCCTTCAGTTTCCTTCTTGTGACGAATTCCAAGAAGCACAGTAAAACAATTCTTTTTCCTGGATTTGTTACTTACCTTGTCTTGAGGAAAATCAGCAGTTGGTCAATAACTTGGAGCTTTCCTGAAGAAAAAATATCAATAGGCTTATGAACAGGCGATTTTTCACAAGCATTTTTACATTTTTCACTGTCACATTAGACACCTATTCCACTTTTCACTTTTCAGTAGTGTCACAACTCAGTCTTTAAAACCACTAATTTTATTGTCCCCCTTTCACAGACGCGTGTACGGCTGGACAAACATTAATTGAAATTAAAACTAAATTCTATATTAATGGCGGATAAACAAACAGCTTTTTCATTTCAGTCGCTTTAATGTGAGAAGTACATAACTGTTGAGGACTTTAAAATGAAGCGGTTAGCTTAAACTTGATTCAGTATAATACAAGAGAAAACTGAGATAGAGCAGTCAGAGAAAGTAAATAAACTATGTAAGTTCACAAATATTAATTACCACTAGCATCAACAAGATGTTCACCAAGTTGAAACGGCTCAGGTTCCACTCCTAAACAGCAAAATCAAAGCAAAGTTAGGAAGACTTGATTACTGTATTCTGGAATACAGACAAACAACAAATTTACCGTCAAACAGATATGGATGGTTGACACATTTTCTTAATTGGGTCAAAATATTCATCAGTCTGGTTTTACTGGTTCCTCCAGGAGAATTAAACGCGTCTAGAAAAAGGTTAAAACAGACATTAGAAAACAATCACCTTATAAACTCCAAACAGACTGTATCTCTCCTGCTTTAAAACTTAAAACTACACAGCCTTTGAAAGTGTCACTAAACTCACTGGAAGTGAACTAAACTACTTATAGAAGAAAAAAAGATCGCACAAAAAATTGTTCTAGGTGCCACATGTGAAGTAAAATCACCACGGAAAAACTTTTGTGCTTTTTTATTCTGGCATGAGTATGCCCTACACACGTAACGGCCTGAAATCGTGTTAAACCTTCTCCAGGAATTCCCCTACTTTGCGTGAGTAATACCTATAAAAACAATGTTTACTGAATGATATTATGCAAAACCTGATTTCAATAAGAAGTTATTCAAACGTTGATAAACCTTCTACAATTAACGGCCACTGTGAGTAAATGGAAAGATACAAATGAAAATTTCCAAACAAACTGTACGAAAAACACTTAAATTAGAAACGGAGAACCGACATTAAGAACACCATATTATTAACAATCATTACAAGTCATTTAGAGTGTCACAACTTTTCAGTTTAAGAATTTTAAGCGAGGTCAACCCTACCTAAATCTTTCATCAAGATGGCCTTGTAATATTTTTTCTGTAATTCTGACATGCCAGTGTAGAGAAGAACCTTTTTTAAAAAAAAAAGCACACAAATAATTGAAAGAAATTAGGTCAGGGGAACTACACATCGGGAAGCACAGTACCATTATCTCCGCAGTCATTGTTAAAATATGAAGAGTGACACTCCAGCGTTTAAAAGGAACGACAAAAAGTGTCTCAAGGAGACTGAACACAGATCACTGAGGGGGGGAGGGGGGTGAGGGGTAGGGCCATGAATTTGGCAGACTACAATAGCTTTTACCCTTTACTGATCGTACTACGTGAAAATTAACTTTGCAAGACATCAACACGACACCGAAAGAACCAAAAACAGAGCGGGGTTGAAATCAGTGTGTCTACTCAGTGTATATTTTTGCTGGTCAGGTCTTATATAGATCCTACATTTTGCGGCATATTCGTCTGTGGTCCTTTGCAGTTTGAATGTCAATTTTTTACCCTTTACTCCTACTGCCAATAAGGTGGCGTTTTCAAGCAAGAGCAGTTTAAAGAACAGAGATTGGCTTGGAAGACGTTTTTCCATTTATCGTCGTATTCACGAGATTAATGACACGCATGCATGACAAAGTACATTCAGATGACTTTGAACAGTGCGCAGAATCTAAATAAGTAGTGCTTTCAAGCAAGAATAGGAGTAAAACAAATTAAAAATGAAGGGAATTGTGAACGTAAGTATATTAATTAACACTATTACCTCACTCTTCTTTGGTAAATGTGCCATCACCTACAACAAATTATAAAAAATAACAGAAATCATAAAAACAGTAATAATTTATAGTTTTAAAAGCACAATTGGGGCCTGGCCAATGCCAGAATTTTGCATGCACGCACCAATTTACAAGTACAGTGTGGTCAGTATTAATGTTAAGACATAAATAAAAATATTTTACAGATTTCGTAGTTGCCAATGTCACTTATAAACAAAAAGGATTTAATATTATTTATTACTGTGAAATGATATCTGACCTCTGACTTGACACGCCTTAACAAAAATGGTGACAAAAGATTTTGCAACTCCATATTTTTTTCTGAAACAAATAACCAAAAAGATACAATAACTATTAGTGAAACAAACAGTAGCGATACAGTTATGATCCCATGATCAAACAGAAAACTTCGAAATACACTTTACTTGCATCATACTCAAATTTAGCAACCTTAATAACTTTCTTTAGAAGAACTTAAAGCAGTGGCGGATCCAAATCCTCAGATAAGGGAGGGGGGCAGTCATCCAGACCCTGAGATAGGCGGGGTCTCAAAAAAATTTTTTTAGGCACCTCAGGCCTCAATTTGGTCTAAAAATAAGGGGGGGCCCTCCCGTGGATCCGCCATTGTAAAGTAAATACCTGATATCAAAACTTGTTAGCCAGTGACCGTGGATATACATGTATTTCCAGCTTGAGGTTGGAGGGAAGGGGCACTTCCCTGTGAAAATGACGGGGGGTGCTCATCGTACCTTTCAGGGATGACCCCGTTAAGCCCCATTATTATTCAGAAAAGACTAAAGGCATACAGGAATTGATTGCTACCTGTGAAGCCGGATTCACCAAAATCCCGGTAGGGATGCAGGTTTCAGAAAAACCAATATTATAAGACTCCCATCTCTCACCTGTAGAATCATCAACATCTGTGAACCTTTCCTCAAATTCATCAATAGCATCAAGAGAAAAAATACCAGGGCTTACAAATGAGAGCAGCGAATATAGCTAAAAGTTGACATTAAAGGGAAGGTTAGTGATAAGCTTTGCCCTTTCTGTGACAGTTTGAGTCTTGCAGTGTGCAGACTTTCCCAAGAGGTGGACCAGAGACTTGAAATCATAGACAGCCAACACTAAATATTACCTCTAAAATTTTTTGAACAATTTTCTTTGGGGGGGGGGGGAACTAGACGTAAATGTAATTGACTGAAATTTTGCAAGACCATCCTCTTCCATGGCCTTATATAGAACAAACAGTATTTAATTTAGCGCTGTCCATGTCAGGCAGAACATGCACAGGAAAATAAAAATCAGCTGTGGTCACACTAAGAAAGTTGCTGGAAGTTGATTTTTGAGAAACCTAGTAAAAAATTCTTCAAAACTAAACCTTTTTAAACAAGTTTAATAGAGCTACAATGAAATTTTCATGAGTGGCCTGACATAAAATGTGTTAAGGAAAAACAGAACATGCCTGGGCGCTACAGTGCGAACATTAAGCTAAGTACAGCTTTAACTTTTTGAAAATGTAGTGCTAATGTTTGCATAGTACTGACAGCTAATTAAATACTGTACACTCTCTAAAGCATGAGGGGAAATGATTGACTGATTAATAGTATTAACCCAAACACGGTTAAGAAAAAGTATTGTTTTGCATAATTTGCATAACCTGAATAAAACATTTAAGACCCAAATTAAAATACACAGTCACAATGAAATTCACTGCTTTTGAAAAAAACAGTTAATTTTAATATGACTATTGGAAATAACATGTTTACTACAAGAACCTGTGTTGCCACAGCCATTATCTGTGGCTTTAAAGTAAAATCAAATCTGTTGTAATCCTCTAAGTGAAATTAGGTAGGTATGGTAAGAAGAGAACTGATAATTAAAGCCATAATTATTGTGATGCTGCGTCTAGACAAGAGATAAAAGAAAGATGAAATAGAAAAGAAAGAATTCATCTGTGATTGACATGTTACCTCTTTAAGATTATTTTGGATTGGTGTTCCTGTTAGCAGTACAACAAAGTCCTTGTCAAACTAAAAGACAATGAATAAATGGCTAAATAAATAAATACAGTACATAACAATGCAGGGTTACTTAGTGAATTATTCAAGCTATAAAAAAAATCATCAAGCTTGGATGAAATAAATTACTGTTCCTCTTTCCTCAGTAAAAACAAATTTTTTTAAAAAAAAAGTTTACACTTCACAAAATCAAGTTGCAGTACTGCATGCATGCAAAGGGAGAACAAACACATTCACATTCACTAGAACAGTCAACTTCTGTTATTGGGGACACTCTTGAGACGGAAAGTTAGAGTCCATATCAGCTAGAGTTTGTACATAGGAGCAAGAGTTTCAGTCATAATAAATTATGTCAGTTTTAAAGTCAGATGTTTCAAATTTACAGTGGATATTAGCTGGGGATTTAGTTGCTATCCATAGTGTCAGTGTATCTGTAACAGTGAGGTGTTGCAAGTTGAGATTTGACTGTACATACTACAATGTTACGTCACTTGTTTATATTGCAGAGAAAAAAAATCAGTAAGGTTCAAAATGAGACGAGGATGAATTCCTCCCTAAAGTTACCAGCATTGAACTACTAATAATTATTAACAAAACAATCACTATCAAAAACTAATGAAAAACTTCAACAGCAAAAACCCATGCCATGAGTAATAGGAACTGCTTTTTCCAAAGTTAGCCCCCACCTCCTCTCCCCCCAAAATTAAATTGCTACTGGTAAATTCAGTGGTATTCAGCCTATTCCATATTTTATAAATTAATCAGCATACTGGTGTGTTTACTTAGTATTTATTGGTAGATCACATACAAACACCTGGCTACTGAATAGGTAAATGACATCTTCAATATTATTCACTGTATTAACTCAAGTAAATATAAGGAACATTTGACTGACACAGAAAAATTAAAAATCACATCAGACCAACCTGGGATAGTTCTTGATAAAGAGCAGACCTGCAGTTTTTTAATCTATGAGCCTCATCTACTATCATCACTTTCCAGTGAAATCTGCAAACATGGTAGAAAAGGACTACATATGAATTATTAGCGAGCTTAAGCAAGGATGGCAGCAGTGGCAGCAAAAACGTCTTTTAAAAAGTGAATTCATGCTGTTATAAAATTCATGGGTATTATTTCATGGCATTCAATTTGTCAAATGTTTGTGAATTTTTCTGGAAATATTGAATTCTTAAGGACTGTATCTAAGTTCATGCAACAATGGCAAAGAAATGTACAAAACAGCATGAAGCTTATCCAAAGTTGCTGTTTTGCTTATCTAAACCTATTGCTTTTTCACTGTTCTCTTTGATGTCGTTGTTGTTGCTTAAGCTCCCTACACTGTATTTAATACCTGATGGTATAAACTACACCAAAACTACAATAACTGCAAGTTATACCACTGTACACGTTGTAGCTGGAATCCACCCTCAGGCTAAACCTGAATTTCCTTTGTCTATCATGACAAAAAAATAAGGGCTAGCTGGACACAAGGGAAATTCTATGGAGGTTATAATTACAGGCTTAACCTGAGAATGTATTTTACCCAGAAAATACATGTTCACAACCAAAAGACTATGTACTTGACAATATACTCACTTGGAAAGAAAATCTGCTTCCCGTAAGCACATCTATCAATATAAAGGTTAAACAATGCATTAATTTTTCAATCTGTTTATATACAATTTAAAATATAATAAAAAAATAATAATAACAGTACAAGTATTAAAATAGGCAGCAATAGATTGGATTGAATGCAGTGTTTCTAGTGATGAAGCTCTGTGGGGTACATATGGAAGGTTGTTGTCCTTTTCCAATTACGTCGAGTAAGTGGGACATACTCTACTCGGAAAAATTCAATATTGGGTATCCTGAAAACTACCCTTCAGTTTATTTTCAGTCAAACCTCTAAAAGAATTTTGGCCACAAGGATGGCATCCTTATAATACCTTTATGCTTGTTTTTGTAAACAAAAGTGTAAAGGAACAATTTCTTTTTTTAACAGATTTATTGTTCCATACAAAGAATAAAATAATTATTATTTTATGTGACAATAGCCAGCAACTTTCACTGCTCATAACTTAAAGCTTCAGGAAGGCCCCCTGGTTTTAGCACATCAAAATTTTACCTCATATGTTGTCAGGAGCACACTAAATGAAAAAGAGGCATTTTTGTATCCTGAACTCTGAAATAAAATATCATAATTATAATGAATCAGATATTTTTATCTTCAACATGAAATGCCTGAAAAAAAATCTAGTTTAAGTACAGCTCTCCAAACTAGAAAAAAACCAGACGATGATACCTTTACTTTGAATGGTTGGTTAATATTTAAAAGTATTAAATATTAAAACATGGCTGGTTCCACGAGCAGGCAGCCTGAGAAAACAGCCAACATTTGGCGACGCTACCACTGGTTTCCCCTCCAAATGACGTTTGAGAAACAA